AAAGACCAGGTTTGCTGATCTGATAGAGCCTGGTGGAACTCCTGAGACTATGGCCCCTAGATACCCTTCAGGTCTGGAATTGAACTCACTCCTGTGGCTTCCAGCCAATAATAGACAGGCATTTGGGGTGAACATTTACATTAGGTAGATTCACTCCTTGAAATGATCAGTCATGGGAGAACAGAAGGGCAGTGTTTGCACAGGGAGACAGGTCAGGGAGCAGGAGTGCATGGGAGGGAAGGACACAGGGAAGAGGTAACTACAAGGAGGAAGTAGGAAGAGAGCTGTTACATTGTGGGGAATTACAGTCAATGTCATGAGACAAAATGTATGAAATGCTGTGTGGAAAATGAATTTGCTCTGTAAACTTTCACACAAATCACAAAAAAAAAAAAAAAAAAAACATAGCATGCTTAGTTTTGACAGCAGACCTTAAAAACCAGTTCACATAAGTAGTTTTACAAAGTTCTATTAAGTGCTCTCAGGGAGACAAAGGTTTATAAGATATGGCCCTTGTTCTCCAGGAGCTAACTGGATAGAGATGGAATATGTAAAATTAGCATTATAGCACAGGAAAGCAATAAGCATGGGAAAAAATATTTGGCAATGACATATCTGACAAGGGACTTATCTCTAGAAATTATAGAAAACCCCAACACCTCAATAACAAAAAGACAAATAATCCAATTAAAAAATGGGCAGAAGACATGAATAGACACTTCACCAAGGAGGATATTCATGCGGCCAACAAACATGAAGAAATGTTCACACTCATAAGCCACTAGAGAGATGCAAATCCAAACAACGAGATACCATCTTGCTCCAGCACTAGTAACAAAGTTCAACAAGACAGAAAATAACAAATTCTGGCAAGGATGTGGAGAGATTGGGATTTTCATACACTGCTGGTGGGACTGTAAAATGGTACAACCGCTGTGGAAAACAGTATGGCGAGTCCTTCAAAAGTTGGAATTAGAAATACCATTTGACCCAGCCATTCCATTACTAGGTATATATCCTGAAGAAGTGAAGTGAAAGCCATGACAAGAACAGACATATGCACACCCATGTTCATTGCAGCACTTTTTTACAATAGCCAAAGGATGGAAACAACCTCGGTGTCGATCAACTTAGGAATGGATAACCAAATCATGGTACATACACACAATGGAATACTATGCAACTCTAAAGAATAACCTAGAATCTGCAAAACACTGCATAACATGGATGAACTTGGAGGACATTATGCTGAGTGAAATAAGTCAATCACAGAAGGACAAATATTGTATTAAGTCTGTTATTATAAAAGTCAAGGGAAGGTTTATCTATGGAAGGAAATTTTCTTTGTTGGTTACCAGGGGTGGGAGGGTAGGGTAGGGAACACTGTTAAATAGGTAGAGATAAGTATTGATTTGGGTGAAGAGAAGGGCAATGTACCAAATGTGAGTGATCAACATGGTGGCATTGAGGAAGAGGAAGACAGAGAGAGGTACATGGGAGGTACAGACAACAAAGGTGAACCCTTTTACACATACAGTACTGCATTGTCAGTGAAGGCAAACATAGGTATATAGGTGGATAGATGGGTGGACAAGCTGAACTATTAGGTATGTCTTTGAAGCAGAGAGTATACCCAAGACCATGTATAGGGTTGGCAGACAATGGTCCTATAAGTGTATTTATATGATCTGAATTCCCAGGTATATAGTAGAATTGACAAGGGGCAAGGTTGTTGTCACTTATGGTCACAGTCAGCTACCCAGAGGGCCTGAGTAGTTGAACCTGTGGGCTCGGGACCATAGTCACAGGAGACATCCAGCTCAATTGGCATAACATACTACACAAAACATTGTTCCACTTCCTACTTTGGCGAGTAGCGACTGAGATCTTAAAGCTTGTAAGCAGCGATCTAGATGCAACAATAGGTCTCTCCTCGTCCAGAGCAAAGAAGAATGAAGAAAACCAAAGATTCATGGAAAGATTAGTCCTAGTGACTGGTACACCGTGTGATCCACAGCCTATATGACTATGAGACCAGAAGAACTAGATGGTGCCTGGCTACCAATATCAACCACTTGGAGGGGGATCTATGTAGGAGATCCTGGATAGAGAAGGAGAACAATGTGGAACAAAACTCAAAATCATTTGGGAAAAAAAAAGGGGACCAGGTTTGCTGATCTGATAGAGCCTGGTGGAACCACTGAGACTATGGTCCCTAGCTGCCTTTCAGGTCTGGAATTGAACTCACACCTGTGGCTCCCAGCCAAGCAAAAGACAGGCATAGGAATTGAATATTTACCTGAGGGTAGATAGACTCCTTGGTGAGAACAATCATGGGAGAAAGAAGGGCTGTTTATGCACAGGGAGATAGCTCAGGGGGCAGGGGTGCACGGAGGGATGGACACAGGGAAGAGGTGACTGTCAGGAGGAAGTGGGAGGGGAGCTATTGTATTGAGGTGAATTGTGGTCAGTGTCATGAGACAAAGTATATGTGAATTGCTGTATGGAAAGTGAATTTGCTCTGTAAATTTTCACCCAAATCACAATAATGGAAAAAAAAAAAAAGGGAAAGCAATAAGTAATGAAAATGGCCCTTCATCAAACAGCCACTAAATGTCAGAGGAACTATTTATATACATTAATGAATTCAACCTCATAATCCAATAATGGGGAAGAATGAATTGACTTGCCCAGAATCAGCAACTAATAACATATCAAAGGAGGAGATTAAAAGCCAGATCTGCCTGACTGTGAAGCTGCTCTCTTTCTACTGTGCTAGGCTGTCTTAGGAGAAACACAGTAAGGGGCCTAGAGGAGTTCAGAAGCAGGAGGGTTTAGTTCTGTCATGGGATCAGGGAAGACTTCATGGTAGATGAGATATCACAGCTGGTCAGTGAAGGATAGATAAAATGTAACATTTTAGATATAAGGAAGAAGTGGATCATTCCAGAAAGGGGAATACTTTGCTCAAAATCACTAAGTAGAAACTGCAGGACGTGTTCAGGAAATGGCATGTAACCTGGGGAGGCTTGGTGTACCATGTGGGAGATTGGTTAGTCCAAACTTTCACTTCTGACAGTGCTTGATGTGGATGAAAGAGGATTTGGGGTGTTTGCATTTGAATATGTTAGAAATACTATTTCAAATAGGCCTATGAGGAGAATGGTAAGGTCAGTATTTTAATGATTTCTAACAAACAATATCCTCACAGTATATACCATGTGTGCTTAATTAAAAATGTTTAAAGTCATAATGATGGCTTGTCATAAGGCTAAAGGATTCATTTACAATTTAAGCAAGCAAATGCTTGTATTGCTTTGAAATGAAAACAGTGTGACATTTAAGCATGAATAACTACTCCTGTTCCCTACTAAGAAGAAAAAAAAACAATTATATTCCTCCTTTTTAATCTTATCAGATTAGCAAAAATCAGTAAGAGTGATCATTTATACTAGCAAGAGTGTGTGGAAACAAAGACTTGTGTACGTTATTTACTCGTGTAAATAAATAGGACAGCTCCATATGTCCTGATAAGGAATGATCTTTATCCTATTTTAAATAAAAGAAAAACAAGATGCAGAGCACCATGTCTACATTTATGCTTTACATTTAAGTTCCTGTAATGCGTACAGTTGTTCACTGTTCCTTCACTAAAATGTAGACATTTACACTTTCCAAAAGGATGGGAGAGGAGCAGATTTATACGCAATAGCTTTGCCTAAGAAGTTTCATTAGTATGCAGGCCTAGTTTTATCCATTTTATGACAAGGGAATTTCTACCCTTTATCATCTCAAATATTGCTACTGAAGTTTCTGTCCAGACCTTTAAGGTGAGCTGGCTGGATCAGTTTATCTCTAATTCCTGTCTGCTTCATTTGCTACTCACTTTTCTTCCTGGGAGTTATTCCAGTGCTCTTCAGTTTCAGGTAGACTCTGATCCATTTGGTCAGTTTCCAACTGTGTTCTTGGCTTACTTCACATATATGGTAGTGAGATTTCAGACATTACCCAATTTTCTCCTTATCTCTTTTTCTCTGTCAGGCTACATGGTAATCTTTACACCCTGCCTTGAATTCTAACCTATTCCTGATACTTTACTTTCTTCCAGTGCAAAAATTTTCCTTTCTGCTTAAAACTGCCTATTGTGTGTGTGTGTGTGTATACACATACATGTACATATATGCTTTATATACGTAAGAACCCAGCACCTGGTTCTGATGGCCTCTGAAAAGGCCAGCAAGAGAGAGACCATTGGAAAATGAGTGGTGAGAAAAGAGACTTACTTTTCACTATATATAATACTTTATTTCTCTTATTTGATACCTTTAAATAGTATTGGTAATAAGAGTAAATAAACAGTTAACTAAATACAATATCATAAATGGAATGTAACATATAATTCTATAATGCATATTATTAAAAGATAGTATACATAAGTAATACACTAATTATATTAATGAAGATGTAGATAAGAGAAATAATACCTTCCATTTGTTTTACACTTTATATTTCATGTAATTCTTCTTATTTAATCTTTATAAAACCCTGTTGGCTAGCTGGTTATTGTCTCTATTTTATAGAAAATAACTATCTCTATTTTCATGAGATATGGCAAAACATGAAAAATAATAAAAAACACAAATAAAGAAGTAAGGTTCAGAATAGTTAGTGACCTAAGTCCCACAGTCAGTACTTGAATCATTGTCTAGTGCATTTTCCACTGTGCTTCAGGTAAGGATGTTCAGAGTGATGTCCCAAGCTTTGGCCCTTCAACTGGAGTTAATTACCAGCTTTTTCTATAATAGGTTATTTGGTGAACCTATGGGACTGAACCAGTCTGATGCAAATAAAAAATTATTCAGTCATTCAGCTTGCCAGTACCTCAGTGGATCTCAGGCTCTGCACAGGTTCTCATCATAGGCATTGAGAATACAAAACAAATAAGATGGACTTGTTCTGTACCTTAGAAGCTTACCTGTGTCTCCTTTCAATTGTTCTAGGAAGAGTTGCAGGCCAACTTGGACCTAATTCAAACCTACAGACTGCATATTGCCCAAGATATCAACCAGGAAAACCTACAGCTCTTCCTGAGTTCCTATAATGGGTATAGTTGTTCACTGTTCCTTCACTAAAATGTAGACCAGGTCTAAAAAGGTAGTTGACAGTTAAAGAACAACGAAAGGAGAGAGAAACTACTTCTTCCATTGCTGTGAGATGTGATTGCTATCATGCTGTTTCACCACAGAAGAAGAGACCGATATTGAAACAGCTTTCAAGAAGAGTGAATGAAGTGAAAGTCGTTTCTGGCACGTTCAGTACCAGTTGCAGTTTTAAGACATTTTGAAACAAAAAATAACTAAGTTAAGCACACACACAGGAAAATACATATAGCGGAGGCAAAGGATAAAGGCCTTGGTCCTTGTTCTGGTTACCTAGTGCTGCTCTGACAACAAAATACCAGAAATGGGATGGCCTTAACAAACAGGAGTTTATTCTTACAATTTGGAGGCTTTAAGTCCAAGTTCAAAGTGCCAGGCTCTAGGGGCTGGGTGAAAGCCCCTGAACCTTGGAGTCCAGCTCTGCCTCCTGCTCCCGGCCCACTGGAGCTAGAGGCATTTCTTCACTCAGACAGCTGTTGGCTGCTGAGGCTGAGAAGCCCCAAGGTTGACAAGTAAAAAGGCACAGTCCCGATGTTACCAATCCACATGGCAGGCTATTAACTTAAGTCCACTGTAAGTCCCAAGGTTGGCAGAGCATAGCAGGCTGCTGATCAACGACAAGGCTACATACAGGGTCCAAGCATACCAAAGGCTAGAGACCATTCCCAAGGCTTCTCCTTAAATACAGGAAGCAGACCACATTCCCAAAGGCAGCTACTCAGCTGCTTGTGGTAGATCCCACAGGGGAGTTGACTGCCAGCCTCATCATGGGGAATAACTACCACCAGCTGCCCAGCCACTCAACCAGGCCCAGCCAAGTTGACACACAAACATAACTACCACAGGCCTTGTTTTTGTTTCTCTGTGCTGATCTTACCAGGGAGAAGGAACACATTGTTGTTGTTGTTATGTCTGTCGAGTCAGCCCTGACTCATAGCAACCCCTCCTTGGGTTTCCGAGGCAGTATCACTACGGAAGTAGGATTGCCCAACCTTCCTTCCGAGGAGTGGCTGGTGGGTTTGAACTGCCAGCCAAAGGAACGCATAGACACTAAAAATTCTCTTCTGTTTATATACCCCAAAACCCACTGTCATGTCTCCCCTGGTCACTGAGAGAGCCTGATTTTTATCTTGTTACCAACTTCTCCAAGGTAAAAATGTTAGCTCCTTCTAGCTTTCATTCTCTGGGAACATGGGGGTTAAAAAAGAGGAAATGGGTCAGCTGTAATTTACCAAAAACTACACAGCCAGTAAAGAGCAAAGCCAGGTTTTGAACCTGATGACTCTACTTCTTTCCTCTATGACTGAGCCTCCCTATTTTTAGTAGAAATCAGAAAGATGGCATTTGACTACTAACCAGAAGACTGGTGGTTCAAACCCACTAGCCACTCCTCGGAAGGAAGATTGGGCAATCTACTTCCATAGTGATACCGCCCCGGAAACCCATGGAAGGGTTGCTATGAGTCAGATCTGACTTGATGGCAGTGAGTTTGATTTTTTTTGTTTTTTTTTGGATGCTGAACAGTGTTAGTTATAAGAAAAGGGTTCTCCCCCAAACATGTAAGTCATTCCTTTATCTTAAGGAATTTATTCCCATAAACTACTTGGAAAATTAAACACTTAGGACTTGAGGATTTCAGGCACATTGTTGTTGGACTGTAGCGTTGCCTCCTTTTAGCATCCTGTGGAGCCTTTTAGAGTCTGAGTCACTGAAATGGCTACTCCTGAACAAAGTGTAAAGGGCCCCTTCCCTGATCAACTGAAAGAGAGTTTTCACATGTCTTGATACGTTTTGGTTTTTATAACCAGAAAATAACCTAACTCGCTATGATTTTACCTGAAAGCAGCATTGCTTCTGATTTATGTTTCTAGACGCAGAGACCTAGAGATTGAAAGACCCTTGCTTGGCCAAAATGATAATGCAAAAACATTAAAGTAAGTCTCTCATTTTCCCCATTAAGTTGCTAAATTTCTCTCTGTGTGAAAAGCAGTTTAGTATACAGTGAAGTGTATGTGCTTACTTGCTGATGACATCTCATTCTGCTTATACCTAGGTGTTGTACATTATTGGTGGTGGGGGACAGTTCACCTGCAGTTGAGGCTGTGGTAAGTATATGCTGATGCTGTGAAGATGAATGAGATGAAAATGTAAGAATATGTTTATAGCACACAGCTGAAACAGTTGGAAACTACTTGGGTTTGTTTTTTTTTTTTTTTTTCCTAATTGCACTGATCAGATTTGCTCTTTGTTACACATTTTAGAAAACGAATTTCTCATCAGTCACTAGGTTCCATTAGATGAGATATGTGCTGCCTCTGATTGCTTTGTGTGGTGCCGTTCATTTTGTAACAAGTAGTACAACTTATTACTATTTGTTGTCAAATTTCTGGCAACCTCAGCCACTATACTTTGAAACTGTATCAGCAGGTTAGAAGGCTGCTAGAGCCTGTATACTTTTCTGTACATATACTCATTGTGGAAAAGGAAAATATTGAAAATAGAAGGATGGGTGGAGAGAAGCATGGTCCCATTGCTTAAAGACAAACTATTATCTTTTTCTTTAACATAGACTGGATCATATTAAATATGCAAGATTTTGGGACCTAGTAACTTAATACCATTGATAACATTTTTTCCAAAATGTAAAGTCTGCATAAAAATACTTTTTTATGTTTGTTTAATAATCTGTCTTATAAATGTACCATTGTTGATTTAACCTCATTCTCCTGTTGATCATTTCTGATTTTGCACCATTAGTAATATTGCTGTTCTGTCAACCACTTGGAGGGGGATCTATGTAGGAGATCCTGGATAGAGAGAACAATGTGGAACAAAACTAAAAATCATTTGGAAAAAAAAAAGGGGACCAGGTTTGCTGGTCTGATAGAGTCTGGTGGAACCACTGAAACTATGGTCCCGAGCTGCCCTTCAGTTCTGGAATTGAACCCACACCTGTGGCTTCCAGCCAAACAAAAGACAGGCATAGGAATTGAACAATTACCTGAGTTAGATACACTCCTAGGAGCTCTGGTAGCGTAGTGCCTAAGGCACTTGACTGCTAACCAGAAGGCTGGTGGTTCAAACCCACCAGGCACTCCTCGGAAGGAAGGCTGGGCAATTTACTTCTGTAGTGATACTGCCTTGGAAACCCAAGGGAGGGGTCGCTATGAGTTGGGTCCGACTCGATGCCACTCAGCAACAACAATAACAGATACACTCCTTGGAAAGAACAATCATGGGAGAAAGAAGGGCTGCTTATGCACAGGGAGACAGCTCAGGGGGCAGGAGTGCATGGAGGGATAGATACAGGAAAGAGGTAACTATTGAGAGGAAGTAGGAGAGGAACTGTTGCATTGGGGTATATTGTAGTCAATGTCATGAGATAAAGTGTATGGGAACTGCTGTGTGGAAAGTGAATTTGCTCTGTAAATTTTCACCTAAATCACAATTTAAAAAAAATAATAAAATTAATAATAATATTGCTGTTGAACATCCTTATACAGTTTCTGACTTGACTGAATCTTTGGTTATTCCCCTGGGATGAATTTCCAGAAGTGGAATTAATGTGTCAAAAATCAAAAACATTTGTAACATTGTTGATAAGTTTTATCAGATTCCTTCCCAGAAAGGCTGTTTTTCTAGATGCTGAGACCTGGAAATTGAAAAGCTTTATCAGGCCAAAAGGCTTGTATTACAGTGGATATGGCCACCAACGATACGTGACAGTCCCTGTTTCACAGCACCTAGTCCCTCACTGGATTTATTTTGTTGTTGTTGTTGTTTGCCGTTGAGTCGGCCCCGACTCATAGCAACCCCTCCTTGGGTTTCCAAGGCAGTATCACACGGAAGTAGGATTGCCCAACCTTCCTTCCGAGGAGTGGCTGGTGGGTTTGAACTGCCAGCCTTCTGTTGAGCAGTCAAGTGCCTTAGGCACTATGGATTTATTTTAGTAGTAGTTAATTCGATAGGGTAAAAATGGTGTCCCACTGTTTAAATTTGCATGTCTTTCCTTACAAACGAGGTTGACACTTTTTCATATTTGAGTAGCATTTACGTTTCTTCTTTTACACAGCATATATACCTTAACTAAATATTTCTGTGAAATTACCTGGTTTTCCTTGGCAACCTTTACTTCTACCCTATTGAGAGCAAAACATTAAGGAGTGAGGTGTTTTTGGAAAGGCATTCTAATAAGTAATCAGAGGTGTAGACACAGGCAAGAAGGTTTGTAGGGCAGAGGAGATTGTTTGTAGGGTGAGATGGACATGACAACAGAATGTATTCTCACCTCCTGAATTGCCTCTAAAGCATTCCGTGTCTGGTGTAAAATGTGCAGAGCCAAATAACCCTCAATAAACATTGTTGCAGAAATACCCATCAAAAGCATCTTTTTAATTAAGATGCTTTTACTTTAAAACAGGGAAATAGGATTCTATTTTTAGAAAACACCCATAATCATAATTCCCTAATAATGCTGAATTAAGTATTTCCGTGACTCTATCTGTTGTTGTTATTATAATTATTATATTTGCCTTTTTTAAAACAGCATGTACATAAAGCAATATTACCAATTATTTGTCAAGACTGTATAATTTGGCCATGTAAGTAAGGTCTCTTTCTTTTTCTGATTTCCATATGATCATTATGGAGAACTTTAGGAGCTCTACCATGCCACAAAGTAGGCATTTTTCTAGACACAGTCAAGCCTAGCCCCGAGTCAGAGCATTTTACCCCACAAATTGGTGGGGATTAGACTAGAGGAAGATCCATGAATAAGAGAGCAAGGAGAGACTCTGCAAGTTCTGGCCACTGTTGTCTGCTGTTCTTCTCCCTTATTTGCTCAACATCATTTTTTGAGCATCTCCTATTTGCTCAATGCTACGCAGAATACACAGATTAGTAAGGCAGAGTCACTGCGTTTGGGGAACTGGGGGAGAAAGTACATGTCAGAAAACAACCATTGTGATTGTCACCCTTGAGTATTTGTGCTCTTTTGAAAAATTATCTATTTAAGAACAAATGGACCACAGCTATTCTAAGGTATAGGCAGGAAGGTTGGAGAACAGAGAGATTAAGTCAACAGGGAGTAAAACAACTGGAATAGAAATAACAAGAATAGTGATACAATGTAGAAAGTAACCAGTGTCACTGTTCATTATGTCTAGAAACTGTTGGATGGGAATAGGTTTTGCTCTGTTATTTTCAGAAAAAATAAAATATTTTAAAAAAACACAAAAACTATTGTGTTTGTATTGCCAGATATCAGGACTTCTTATAAATTACAAGGTAGCTGTGGCAGTTAAGGTTGTGTGTCAGCTTGGCTGGGCCTGGTTTTGAGTGACTGGGCAGCTGGATGTAGTTATTCCCCATGATGAGATTGGTAATCAACTCCGTGGGGGAATCTACTGTGAGCAGCTGAGTATTAGGGATGGGGTCTGCTTCCTGTATATAAGGAGCTTTGAGAAAGGCCTCAGAGCTTTTGGCACATTTGCATCCTGCCTTTGGCCAAGTATTCATCCCAGTGGCCAGCTGTGTTATATGTCGATCTCGGGACTATTAATGGCCTTGAATTAGTGTCCTGCTGTGTGATAATTTTGGGACCATGCCATTTTACTTGTTGACCTTGGGTTTGTCAGCCTCAGCAGCAAGCAGCTATCTGAGTGAAGATAAGCCTCCAGCTTTAGTGGGCCAGGAGCAAGAGGCAGAGTTGAAGCCCGAGGTTGAGGGGCTTTCACCCATCCCCTTGAACTGGCACTTTGAACTCAGACTTCTAGCCTCCTAAACTATAAGAGAATAAATTCGTGTTTGTTCAAGCCACCCACTTTTAGTATGTTTGTTATAGCAACACTAGATGACTAAAACAATAGCCAACCCAGAGAACCATGATTTATTATAAATTCATACTTTAGAGTTTGTTCATCTAGAAATTATTCATTGCATGTCTACTATGTTATAAGGAGCTCTGGTGGCATAGCGCCTAAGGCATTAGACTGCTAACCAGAAGGCTGGCAGTTCAAACCCACCAGCCACTCTTCAGAAGGAAGATTGGTCAATCTAGTTCAGTGGAGATACTGCCTCAGAAACTCAAGGAGGGGTCGTTATGAGTCAGAAACGATTCAACCTCAGTGCGTTTGTTTTTTGGTTATCTTACTATGTTATAAGCACTGTGCTTGGCAATTAAGGATTCTATTTTTAAATTCTACCCTTTAAGTTGGTGCATTTTCTGTATTGATACATTTGTTTATCACTGCCTGCACTGTCATTTGTATGGAGCAAATCAAAACCCTGATTCAATGACCTCAGTTTTAGATCATCTCCTGATTTAGAAGAATTTTGTATATAACCTACTAGCAATCCCCAGAGCAAAAGCTCAGCTCAATTACTTGTTCTTGTCTAGATAATTATAATAACTTCCTGGCTGGTTGCTGCCTCTGCAGTCTGTCATACAGGCCACTGCTGGTTACTTTCCGAAAATAACTCAAATCCTGTTACTTCAGAAACCTGTGGCTTCTTGCCTTCCACCGTCAGCCCCAGTCTGCCTCTCCCAGCCCTCCCTCTCACTGCATCTTCATGCCACCCCTGATTCTGGAAGCCTTTGAACTCCCACAGTTTCTTCATTCTCTATCAGTAGGACTTCCAACTTGTTACTCACCTCACCTGTGAAGTTTTCTCATTCTTCCTTGTATTGTATGATCCTTCACCATTAGAATCCAAAACTCTTAGCAGTGTCTTGCATGTGTGTGCTTGGTAAATGTGTGGGAGGATTGATAGAACTGATCAGATTAGCCATAAAACGTTACTGAACCTAGAGATCATCTTCCCAAAACATTTGCCTTGAGATCCGAGCCTTCCTGGATACACAGGAGCACAATACTAAATGTGTAAACACACAAGTTTGAAATTCTTAATTCTGGTGAGAGTGCTGTGATAGGAAAGAACAGTGTGCAATGAGAGAAAATCACAGAGACTCAGCTTTTAGACGAGAGGGTCAAAGACCTTTAGACAGGAATGAGTCGGTGTGAGGAATGAAACCCTGTGCTTCATGGAACAGGAGAGGGGTGATAAATGAGTTAGGGGGTAGCAGAGCTCAGTCAGTAGAATCACTTGTGTTTGGAAGCCACAGACTGATTCTAGCAGCAGAGGGCATAGCCCAGTTCGCACTTCAAACCAGTAAGGTAACTTGCCCTGTGGAAGAATTAGGTATTCAATTCGGTATATAGTTCTTCACAGGCTCTATTTGTAACACATTCAGAAAATGAAAGTAGCCAGAATTTTTAGATCTCTAAAGATACAACAAACACTTGTGTGCATGTATATGGAAGTGTGTGTATGTGTAATTATTCCACCTTGTATTTTGGTCATCTCTTTATCTAGTTCACCCATCTCCAAACTGACCTGTTGATCTTGCAAGATCATTCCCATGCCAAGCTATGTCTTTTTTTCTAGCAATTGATAGAATTCTTTTTCCTTTGTTTTTGAGGTTGAATGCAATTCTCGCCTGGACCCTGTAAATACAACTTTGCTAAAGGTAGTGTGTCATCTTCCTTCCCTGTCAACCATTTGTGAGTAAATTAGACATAGTTTGAATTTTTCTGTTTTATAGAATAGTTACTTAGAAAGAAACAAAGCTTTCATCTCTATGATTCTCTCATTTAAAAAAGAAAAAAAAAAAAACTTTCCTGAATATAATCTCATTGAAAAATATAAGAGAATTAAAATTACCTATAATCCAACCACTCAAAGGTAATCTCTGGGAAAATACTGGTGTGTTTTTCCTATGCATTTTACATCATTAAGGTCATGGTGTATTTATAGCTTGGTGTCTCTTTTTCTTAACTCTATGACATAAGCATTTCCCCATGTTATTGAAGTTTCATAAACTTTGTTACACGTTGTTTTGAGAATTAAATAAGATAATGGATGGAACTTCTTTACATGGTAATCCTGCAGTATTGGCATAGAATCTTCCAATAACTTTCTAATGGTGAAGAATGCCATTTTCTTTCCCTTAGAACAAATAGAGCAACTCTTGAACTAAATTTATAGGGATTGTGTCTTCTCCTTTTGATTAGACCTGAGGCAAGAGTTTCACCCTAACATTGTCTCAGCCTAGCCTTTTCTAGAGCCTTTACTGAAATGTTTAGGTGACTGACGTCCTAGTTTGAATCTGGACTGCTGTAGACTTAAGTGCTGATCTTATGTAGCTTTCTGCTACTTCCTCAACCTGAAAGACCTCTTCTGAAAGTCATCCTCCCTTTCTCTTTGAAGTATGCTTGAAAGGGAAGTGCTGTCATGAGAAGCAGCCCATGGTTCCTAGAAATGTAACACAAGGGTAATAATGCTCTGAGGTGACCAAACTCAGAATGTTTTTGGCTCCAGGTAATCAATGGGCTATTCTCAAATAGGAATTAAAACAAAAGGAATATGTGGTTCCAGGTTAATTTTTCACTGCAGGTTTGAATTGATATTCAAAAGCATAAAACTGAGTTGTACAGTAGCCATAGATGTAGTTCTGCCTGGGCAAAAATGCCCATCTACAACAGCATGGAGCAGAGTGGATTACTCCTGTGGTCATTGAACTGAATCTCAAACTATTTGATAGTTTCTACCAGTATTCTTTCTCTGCATATGGGAACTGTTTACAGTCCTAATGTGGTTTGACTTCTAAATTCATGAACGTACAGCCTGTGCTATTTTGGTCTGTTTCATACTTAAATCAAGTTAAATGTCTATTCCTGATCTTATGCTTAGAATTTTCACGATACCATTCCTTGTTAATCTCAAACGCCTACATCTTCTGTGGCATTCCTCCTTGCTAAATGATAATCCCCCTCAAAGAAAGTTTTAATGTCAGTGAATTGGAGCCATGGGGGTTCATGTTCCTTAAGAAAAAAAGAACTGTTAGCCTGACTGGGATACTGTATGAACATAGAGTGCTAACAGCTGGAAGGCAGAGGGCAGGCTCACGTTGGCCATCATGCCTTAGAAATAGTGTTCTCGGCATACTGACAGAATCTGTATGTATCACTTGGGAGCTTTTGAGAATACAAGTTCTTGGGCCCAACCCCAGATGTATTGAATCAGAGTTGATTGGGAGGAATCCAGGAAACTGAGTTTTAACTAGTCCTCCTGTGAGTAGTCCTACCCTAGAAATTCTTGCCTAGGTGAGAGTAACCAGCTATAAACATTGATGATATTGAGAGGCAGCCTCACAAAGAGGAAGGTGGCTAACCAAGTCAGTTGACCAAATTCACCATCAGCATCTGATTGGAGAATTTCCTTTAATCATAGAATTGGAAGAGGATTTAGAAAGCTTGGTGCCATGAGAAATTAGGGTCACATTGTTTAAGGACTCCAAAGATAACATTCTTCAGGTGGATACAGACCATGGCTGAAGGTAGTGATTAACTTCACTGTTGCCCCTAACTGAATTCCCACCATAAGCCTGAAAAACCATGCCCTGCATTTTCCACATTTGGAAAGCAGTGAATAATCCTTTCACATTTCTATTCAAGATTATTGCTAGGATCTAAATCTTTGTAGAAGAGCACACTGGGGAGATGTACACTTGGTTGCAGTTTAACCTGAAGTCTAATTTGGCCACTTTGGAAAGACTCAAGGATATTCAGGGCATTTCCCTAAAGTGTAAATCATTGCTCACTTACTTATTTTTTCTCTTCTAGATGGCAGACTGTGGGGGACTGCCCCAAGTGGTTCAGGTAAAGAGTTGTGTTGTTTTGTTTTTTAAAGTGCCCATTTGATTCTACCTTTGCAAAAATTAATGCATTTTTATTTTGTCCTCCTAGCCTGGGAAGCTCACCGAGGCCTTCAAGTACTTTTTACAGGGAATGGGCTACAGTGAGTAGTATACAACTTCCTGTCTCCACCACTATGTTGGGGTCTGTTTGACATCTGGGGAGCCCACAGTTCTCAGGGCATAACCTCTATGCTGGCCAATTATTAAGTCAGGTTGAAACCAAAACATTTATGGAGCATTCATCTTTGTGTGTGTGTGTGTGTGTATATATATGTATATATGTATATGTATATATATATATATATGTATATATATGTATGTGTGTGTGTGTGTGTATGTATATATACATATATATGTATATATACATATATATATATATGAGGAGCTAACCCTTACCTAACAGTTACCTAGGCTAGGCACTATACAGGTATTCATTGTCTCATTTAATCCTAACAATTAACATTAAGAGGTAAGTTCCATTATTAGTCTCATTTTAAAGAGGAAACTGAAACTCAAGGAGGTTAAGCAAATTTCCAAGCTGCGGAGCCATGTTTCAAATCCTAGCAGTCTGTCTCCATTTTCAACCACTAAAGCTTAGGTTGTCCTAACTTTGAATATAAAATGATGATTTGCATTTGGACTCAACTGATTGACTCCTGGCCTAGGGAAATAAAGTAGAGACTGCAAAAGAAACAGGTAATGTCCTCAGTTAAATCTGCTCCACCCAGAAGATGAACTTGCAAAGTATCTTAGAATAGGTCCAAAGCATTTGTCTGTATTATATGCCATTGTCCTGGTCAATTGTATTATGCAACCCCTGAGCTTTCTTAGTTGGCACAGAATAGCCACACTTACTCCTTTCTTGGAGTTTTAAAGAAGAAAAACCTTTCCATCCAGGCGCAGAGCCCCTTACCCAGTGAAGTGATTTTTTTTTTCTCTTCTGTCTTTGGTATCATTGTGGATAGTGGCTATGGTGAGCTGCCTGGTCAGCTGCTCTGGGCAGTAGCTAAGCCCCATGGTGCAGCCTTGTCCCTAGCAGGCAAACTGTGTATGTCCTGTCTGGAGTGGCTGTGTGGTCCTTGTCTGTGATCCCCTACCAACCGAGCCCACATCTACTCCCCTCTGGCTCACTGGGAAGAGCAGAAGTCCCTCTCCTCATCCATTCTCCATTTCTTTTCCTAGGAAACAGCTTTTCTCCCTGCCCATTTCTGATCCATAGCAAGATGGCTGTTCATAGTAGATTTAAAAAAAAAAATTAATTGCCTTTGACTGGTTGAGAGAAGTGGTATCTGAGATGCTATTGAAGTGTCATTCAACCTCAGCACCTCTCTCAAGCCTTAAAATAAAATTTACCCCTGGCTTAGAGTATTCTGTCAGTGTCCACTAGGCAGTGCAGGCTGCCACCTGGCACTCTTGGGTCACTAACCTGCCTTTTCCTGTGTCCATCCTGCTTCCAGTCCCGTATGTGCAGCTCAGTCACCTGAGCACCGAGTCAGGTACCTAACTCTCTGCTGCCCCTGCCCCTGCCTCCCAGCCACACCCTCCTGGCTGCGTTGGCTGCTTACAGCATGTCCGCGGTTTCCTGTGCAGTGAGAGCCTGATAGAACGTGGCTCATCTTGCCCCAAGAGGGTTAGCCTGCAGGTCCAGCCCAGGCCCTCCAGGAGGAAGAAAGGAGAGGGCTATATAGTCCCTCTTATCATCCCAAATCTAGGATCACAGCAAAAGCTGAATCTTTATAGCTTTTAGACATAACCCATCTTCCACCACCACCTACTGATACGTGAGTTACCCCTAGGCCCAGAGATTGTAGGGTAGCTTTGACTCTCAGATAGAGCCTGTGCCAAATAACTCTGTGGGTGATGGCACCTTTTGATCCCTGCACTGAAGCGACAGCTGAGGGAGTTGCTGGTCCCTCAGAAAGATAGGCAGGGGAAGTTATGCCAGGTAGGCCCTATTCTGCCCAAGTTAGAAGGGCCTGAGTGTCAAAGTGTTGGCAGAAAAGGAATCTGAGCTAAACATCCATCCCCACACCTCTTCTCTTCCAGGCAACCTGTACCTCATTTCCTGTGCAGAGATCAGCTCCAAACCCATCTGCCCTTCTCTATACCCCTACCTTCCTACATGTCTCCTCCCTAGATAGCAAGGGTAGTCTGTGGACATGAATGGTAGTCTCGTTGTATCGGGCTTGCACTGTTTGTGAAACACCTCCATACTTGAGTAGTTTGTCTTTCTTTTCTTTGATTTAGTCTTGCATGCACTGCAGTTTTGGTTGCCTATTAGGGTTCCCAAAACCTCCTTCCTAATAACTGTATGAATAGCGTGGGCATAGCTAAGAGGCTATACTCTGGGCTTAGGGTTTCCCCTTATTCTGCTATGGACTAGAATTAGTGGAGATTCCAATTAGATCCAAAGAATTAAAGCAGCTTTGCATATAGCCACTTACCTAGAGCAGTAATGCAGAATGGGGATGGTATATCTTGTCCTTGGGTGTTACCCTAAATGGGTTGGGAAAGCTGAACATAAAGCCTTTGGTGAAACTTCTAGCTTAGCTGAGCTTAACTAGGGCTCCATCTTCTAGTCCTCTTGGTTCTTTCTTACAGTACCATCTGCCAGCATGACCCGACTCGCCCGATCACGAACCCACTCAACCTCGAGTAGCCTGAGCTCTGGAGAAAGTCCCTACAGTCGGTCTTTCATCAGCAATCAGTCAGATGGAACTCAAGGAGTCCCTGAGTCCTCTGAGGACCCGGACAAACAGGAGACCATGGAGGTGTCCTGCTAAGCAGATGCCCCCTCCCTTGGACTATGCAAGTCCATCTGATCACTCCATAATACAACATTTCATCCAGCCAACTGGCATCTACTACTATCTTTAACTTATGCATGGCCACTGAATCTCTCTCTATGGTAGTCTGAATTGATCACTCTCTGCCCACTCACCCTTTTTTTTGTATGTACCAAGAACCACTTCCATACCATTACTAAACATTCCAACACCTTTAATGGATCAGATCTCCATATCTTCTCTTGCCAGCTTTTTCCTGTGCTCTCCTAACTACGCATCTGATAAGATTCTTTGATCCCAATTCTGTGTGTGTGCGGGCACGTATGTCTGTTTGTGTATGCATAGTTCTGTGATTTTAGACATGCTTTCTTGTAGAGCTTCTGCAAAAAAAAAGGGGGGGGGACTTTTTCTTTTTTCATTTTCAATGGTGTTTTTAGGGGAAATGTACAGAAGAGATTTCTATGTTGGATAGGCAACTGCATTCTCTTTTGGTTCCAAGTTGTTGGTCAATAAGATTTGCAGAATGACTTCAGGAGAGGGAAACTCTGAAGAATGTGGAAGGTCGGAGTTACTGTTTGGACCTCTGATTGTGACCAATAGGAGGTGCCTATTACATACAGAGGTGGGCAGGGTGACCAGTTACCTCTTTCTGTCCAGATGAATTCACAAATACTATTTGTTCTATAAATAAAAAAGGAAAGATATATTCTGCTAGAAGCCCATGAACAATAAGATTCTGATGCAGTGTGGAATTTTTCCCAAGTAGTGAGTGTGGCTTAATTACTGGACTCTCTTAGCACAGAAAGGTGGAAAGCAAAATGCCAGGCCTGTGCCCTGCAAGGCCACATCAGCTGTCACTGCATGTCAGATGCCACTAAGCACACAAAGCATTTGCAAGAAGCATCTCCCATGTCTGTGATGGAGAACTGTTTTTCTACGCCTCAGTCCTCCCTCAGAAAAGGGAGAGAGATGGCCTAAATGTTATGTAGGTGGTAAAAAAAATGGGTGAGGGAAAGGAACAGACATTAGCACAATATAATGTTTAATACAGCCTTGAAATCAGCAGACATAATAAAACTAAGTTTATATTGAACTCATTTCTGAGAAAGATTCTTGATCTCTTGAACTCCATTTTGTAGTAGGAGAGAAGGGACCAATCTGTAAGGAGTGCCCTGTCCATGTAAAGCTGTTTTCAGCCTCCTGTCTAGTGCTATGTGAGGGGGTCACAGCCAGCCAGGGGGAATTATTACTGAAAGGAGGGTGAAGAACCATGGAGAGACCACCTGCCACATGGCAAAGGCCTAGCTCCTGAGAGCATCAGATGTAAGCTCAGGGTTACACAGATTTGAAACTTGGGAAGGGGCTTTTCAGACACATTGTTTGCTTTCTGCTGAGATAGGGAATGTGTCACTCGCCAGAGTGTGACTTTTTAACAGATTATTAAATAAAGCTGTATATGTCTCATTGTTACCCGTTTGCTGGTGTTATTTCTCTCAGGCCATTTATTGGAGCTCAGGAAGAGACTGAACTAGTGTATGCTAGCTCCATGCTGAATATTTTCACAACATGATCACTTACTCCACCCAGCAACATTGTCCATTTATAGTGAGGAAATTAAGATAGGATAAATAATTTGCTCAAGGTCACACAGCCAGTAAGCCAAGCCAAGATTGAACCCCAGATCCATCCAACATACCTGTATTCTCCTCAAACCAAAAGTCTCATGGAGCCCAACTGTGCTGTTTGTGAAGAAGCAGCAGCTAGGGTCTTGGAAGGCATTCCACATCTCAGCCCAACCATGTGTACAGGATTGCAGGTCCCTATCCCTCATGTAATAATCTATAACCACTTGTCTGGGTTCCTCTAAGAAACCAGGCTATATTTCTTCAGAAATGGTTATCTTTTTACCCACCAAGAATAATTGCATGAGTCTATCATCTCAGATCAGTTTTGGACCCTGCTCATTCTGGTAGAAAGGATGAAACAAATGTACATGGACAGAAACACACTACCAGGCCAGTGCTCTACAGCGTTCCAAAGCTGGGGTTGACAGCCACAGCTGCTCTTCAACCCACATTGCTCCAGCCTTCTAAGCCTCATTTGAAATGAGTGCTTGCTTGCTTTCCCACCTTAGGCTTGTCCTTGGAGTCAGGCCTTTCCCATCCATACTCATTCCTCTTCTCATTTTCATTTTCTTTCTTCCTATTCAGTTGAAAAAAAAAAAAAAAAAAGTGCCTGCTTCATGAGTAGGAGGTGGCCAAGTAGACCACAGGTCAGATAGGTACACAAGATGACTATACCTAGCTCTCCCACATACCTCATATCCAGTTCTCATGGCAACCCTGCAAAGTGGCCAGTGTCTATTGTACAGACACCAAATTGCTGAGGAAAGTGAATTGATTTGGTTAGCATCATTTAACTTGAAAAATTAGAATCATATTTTATCAGATTTTTATGTTTTATTCAGCCTTTTATTGAGCAGTTACTATAGACCAGGGACTTGTCACCTTTCTTTAAATTCCCTTTTATTGACCCAGTAAGCTACATGCTCTTACCATTTTATGGAAAGAAAGATAGGCCCAGAGTTAGTTTACAGAGATGGTCACAAAACTAGTAAGTGGCAGATTTAGGGTTGTCAACTTGTCTTTATCATTCTTAGGTGCCTCCATAAGTGGAAAGGGTACTCTAGAGTGGAATTCTTCATTCCCTACTTCCTACCTCATTCACAGACCTCACCTTGAAACCAGTCTTGCAAGTCTGCCCTCAGATAAGGACAGCATCAGAGGTGTATGGAGGCAAGAGCAGTTGGCTGGGCTCGTGCTCAGTTTTCTCCCCACCAAGGGCCACATCCATTCTAACATCTCCTTAGAACTTACATTACAGAGGATGTGCCTGCACTTGCCTCTTATAGCTCTGTGTGCCAAACCTTCCCCAGGAGAAAGGGGGAGACCAGAAGGAGCACTGAGAATCTGAGCTAGAGGGTGCCCAACAGGCAAGCCATCAGAAAAGGCTGAGAAATCTGTCAGGAGCCATTTCAGCACAGTGGACCCATTTTGTGTTAAAGAGCACGTCTCCAAGAATACTCAGTCCCTAACGGGGAGACAGCAAATGGGTATGGCTCTTTAAATTTTAATGAACTGTAGAGAGATGGTAGCGCAGCAGTCAAAAGCAATTCTATCAGAGACAGTTTCTTTATCCCAGATTATCCATTGCCAGAGAGCCCATCCTGACTCATAGTGACCCTATGAGATACAGTAGAACTGCCCCATAATGTTTACAAGGCTAATCTTTACAGAAGCAGATTGTCACGTCTTCTTCTGTGGAGCAGCTGGTGGGTTCAAACTGCTGACCTTTTGGTTAGCAGCTACTTAACCACTGTGCCACTGGGGCTCCTTATCCTGGATTAGTGATTCTTGAACTTGAGTGTGCATCAGAGTTGCCTGAAGGACTTCTGAAAACATTGCTGGGCCCTACCCCCTGTGTTTCTAAGTGAGTAGATTTGGAGTAGGGCCTGAGATTGCGTGTCTGACATTCTCAGGTGGTGCTGATCTGGGGACTACACTGAGAGCCACTGTCCAAATCTTGCTATTTAAAGTATGGTCCTCAGGGTAGAAATGTTGGTGTCCCCAGGGAGTTGGAAATGCAGAATGTTGAACCTCACCCCAAACCTACTGAGTCACAATCTGCATTTTAACCATATTCCCAAGTGATCCTTATAAACATTAAAGGTTGAGAAGCATCGCTGTATGGCAGTGCTCCACAAACTTGCCAATCAAGAGAGTCTCTTGGGAATGTCGAAAATTAGATCCCTAGGCTCCTCTGGAGACTTCGATTCAGAAGGTATGGGAGAACTCCAAGAGTCACCCTTCAGATGATTACGCTCAGACAAGTAAGGGGAACCCTGTTCAAACTCTACCTTCCATTCTACCTTGGTTCGGTGTTGTTTGGATGAGACCAAACCACAAAACCAGACAAAAACCTCTTGCTCCAGGATCATGACAAGGTAACAGCTTCTTCCCCAGAAACAGGAACTTGGGGACGGTGGCTCCTCAATGGTCTGATGCCGTCAGAGGAAGCGGTGGTTGTGAGAACCACAGACTCTGCAGATGTGAGCCAGGAGCGCCAAGGACCCTGCACCCATAAGCTCCTGTGACACAGAGCTCCCAGTGCCCTGGGCCTTCCTCCCTGGCCTGGCTCTGCTTGGGAGGGCTGCCCAGTCTGACAGTCCCTCAGCAGCATGGGGCTCTTGTCCCATCCCAGGTGCACGAACTGCTGACCACAGGCAGTTCCTGAGCAATACAAACTGATACCTGGAGCCTCTTCCTGAAGATCCTTCACGACTAAAAGAGCCCTGGGTCTCCTAGGACCAAGGACATTGACAGACTTCAAGAAGGGTACCCCCTAAAGCCCTAGCCTGTCCAGCCAAAGTATGCATCTTAGCTGAGCCCTCTTCCCAAGTCTGATGACAGGAAGCCAGTAAGTACGTTTGCTTTTGTTTTCCGATGGCCTTGGGATGGGTGAGGAGGGATGCCCCCTCAGAGTCCAGGCGTGAACTGAGGACAAGGTGGGCTTTACAGTGGGGAACAAGTTCAAGGAGGAGAAGAGGTTGCTCTGCTGAGGCCATAGGAAGGATGCTTTCTGGGGTCCCCAAAGAAGCCAAGGCCTCCTCCTCCTCCTACCTTTGCTGCCTTGTAGAGAATTAACGTTTCCCTCCAGCTTGTCTTCACGTCTGCTGTGGTCCCATCTTGGCTCCCGGCTGCTTGTGTAACTTTGAGCCTTAGCCTTTTAAAAATCAGTAAATAATAGGGGTCTGTATTACTATATCTGAAGACTTTTTCTTTAATGATAGTTTGAGAGTTGGCAGTTCCTCTCAAAAGGGTGATTAACTGTTCGTTCAAAAGAGAAGTCTCCTTGTAACTCAGTCCACATTCATCACTCTTACCCCCACCACTGAAAATTATCTTCAGAAGCAGAAAACTACTCAGAGTCCAAAGATACGGATTATAGTCCCCACTCTGCACTAACCAGCCGTATGGCAAATGAGCATGATGTCTGTATCCTCTCTGGGCCTTGAGATGGCATGCAAACCCTGTCCAACCTCTCTCAAAGGGTTGTAAGGATCAAGTGAGACAATCAGAAAATCATTCTGGCAAGCATGCTGATCTCAGCTGCTTTTTAGTAACTTTCCTTACACACGTTAGCCTTGTGATTGTACCTAGTCGATTCCCACTCCTAGTGACGCCATGTGACAGAGTAGAACTGCTGCCATAGGGTTTCCTTGGCTACAGTCTGTCCAGGAGCAGATTGCCAGGTTCTCCAGGAGTGGCTGGTAGGTCGAACCTCAGACCTTTTGATTAGCAGCTGAGGGCTCCTTTGCACTGGCCTGAGGCCCTAGAAAGTGCTTAGCACATGGTAAGTTATTCAAATATTTATGATTTTTCTCTTTTAAAAAATTTGACTAATACTTCCTTCTCCTTGGCCTGCCTACTCTGTGGCATTCATTTTGCTCCCAGGGGTTATTCTGGCCTTGACCAGACCAGGTAAAGGGAGCTGCTGGAGAGGGGAGTGAGGGCTTCTAGCATGGAGTCCAACTCTCCTCCCTCCCTCCCTCCACCCAGGCCCATCCCCCAGCTCCACCTGCAGTGGGAAAAAGTGTCTGGGTTTTAGTGCAGTTGGTGATTGTGGTGACTTTGTTGCTGACAGAGGGGAAAGGAAACTTACTGAGCACCCACTCTGCATCAGACTTTAATGACACCCATAACCCCTGGAGTCAGTATTATCCCTAATTCACCAGTGAGACTCAGAAAGCTCACATGCTTTGCCTGAGGTCACGTAGCTAGAGCCTGGTTGCTACCCAGAGCACATCTCTCCCAGGGATTTTCTGCAAAGTTAAGCATATAGCCTACACCCCAGTCTTTGGGAAAGGGAAGTTTGGAGGGCAGCCAGGAATATTAAAAACCTGAGCTGAAGAGGTGCTTTAGTGGGAAAGGAATCAGAAACCTCAGGAGGCAGCAACACCATCTGTCTGCCAAGGCTTCAGGATCCCAAAAGTCTGAGCAGGAAGTGGTTGTCAGGAGCCATTTCTGAGTGATGGATCCATTTCGTGTTAGAGAGCATCTGTCCCCATGAATACCGAACTCCCCATGGGGAGGCAACAGCAAACCCATATTGTTCCCATGTTGATAACAAGAGACTGGAGGACAGTGTAATCACTTTGCATAGACACGGAGTGTCATGTCTAAGACAGCACTGCCTCCCCATGGACCCACATTGCCCAGATACAACTGGCCCATTTGGCCGTGAAAGTCCTGCGATGATATTGATGGACATCCATCCTCACATGGGCACAACAAAGGGTCCAAAGACAAAGAAGGCAGCCACCATGCCATTCTGTGAGCTCCTCCAGGGCAAGCACCCTGACTTCCTCCCTCCCAGGTCCCCAGCCCTTGGCACAAGGCTTGGCACAGCTCGGGGGCTCAATGAATACCAGCTAAATGGAACCTTGTTTCTACTGAAAAGAAAAAAAAAAATCTGAAAGTATAAAATTCAGCCCCCATCCCAACCCTCCCCCAAAAAATCACATTTAATACAGTATTTGAGTATTTAAAATTAGTTGTTGTTGTTATGTGCCGTCGAGTCGGCCCCGACTCATAGCGACCCCTCCTTGGGTTTCCGAGGCAGTATCACTACGGAAGTAGGATTGCCCAACCTTCCTTCCGAGGAGTGGCTGGTGGGTTTCAACCGCCAGCCTTCTGGTTAGCAGTCAAGTGCTTTAGCCATTATGCTACCAGAGCTCCCTTTAAAATTAGTACTAGCCTAGAAATCTGGGGATTTAGATTAAAGGTACAATATTGTCCAAAAAGCTACTCATCACTCGTTCATTAGTTAAATATGCATTGAGTGCCTTCTCTGAACCAGGTGCCTCACCAACTGCTGAGGAAACCAGCAAACTAAAGAAGTCCCTGTCCTCACTGAGCCACAGAAGAATGCAGGTTAAACAAGTCTACACTTTAATAAATGAATAATTAAAAATTTTGAAGGACTACAACATGGAGCCAAGAAAGAGGAGAAATAGGGGGAGGCTCCCAGGAGAGGCTGCTGGTGAAGCGGCATTCAGGACAAGATAAAGGAAAAGTGAGCCCCAGCCAGACTTTTCACACACACTGCCTCCCTGACCCATATGTTGTATATTATTGTTTCCATTTCTTAGATGAAGAAAAGGAGGCACAGAGAGTAGAAGTGGCCTCGAAAGCCCTGCAAGTCATCACTGTGTCATACAGCCTGCCACAACACCAGGAACAATGTGTTCAGTGCCACTTTGCTTGTCATGCCAGCTCCTAATCCCCCTTGGGTCCCCCTCACCCACCTCTGACCCTAGCTAGCCATGGCTCCTAGTAGGGAGTAAGCTCACTGCCCCCGATACTGTCCCCTGCCACCCAATGGCAGAATTTGGCCCCAGGTCAGAGAATTTGTTCATAGTGGGCCATAGAATATCAAGGGTGTGATCTGTGAAAGCTGGGGGATTCAGGGAAGCTTCCTTCCTGGGGGAGGGTGGGATACAGACAGACTCAAAGGGAAGAAAGGGTATCCCAGCCAGTGGGAAGGGGCACCACACAAGCAAAGGCTGAGGAACAAAAAGAATCGAGCATGGCTGCAATGTAGAAAAATAAGGTGTGGAGAAAACAGGATCCAGTTTGCAGGAAGCCTTCAAAATCTGGTTGAGGGGCTAGAGCCTGATCCTGATGGGTAGCAGATCAGCAAGAGAGATCAGTAAGGCTGAGCCGGAAAGGGAAGGGTCCAGAGACCAGGCCAGGGGCCACAGGCTCTGTCCCCATGGCAACATCTCTTTCAGGTTTCCCTTGGGGATGTGCTTCTAAGTGTTCTGACAAACAATGGGAAGTCTGCCCAGCAGAGGAAAAACCCTGCCAAACCCAAGCTCAAGCCCATCAGCCCAAGGCCAAGAACATGTGCCCATGCAAGCAGGTAGGTCAAGGGGCAGGGGGTGGGCAGCACCTTCCCAGGCACCACAAAGACCTGGGCCCTCTGTAGGCCTTCCTGACCAGCACCTCCAACACTGCATCAAGTATTAATGAGTACATGCTGGGTCCTGGGGAGCCAGCTAGCCATGGTCCCTGTTCTTGTGGAGCTTACATTTCAGCAACGTTAAACAGCCAGATAAGCTAGAGAGTATGGGAGAGTGACAGGCACTAACTAGAACATCACATCAGGAAGGTGTGATAGTTCCCCAGGAGTCTTCAAATGCTTCCTTCCTTCTAAGCTATTTTATTCAGAGACCAATCTGGCCTCTCTAAGACCAACCCTTCACTTCCCTAACTCTCCAGAGCTACGTGGTCTGTTACAGTAGCCAATAGCCATGTGTGACTATTTAATTAAAATGAAATAAAATTTGGTTCATTGATCTCACTAGCCACATTCTGTTGTTGTTGTTGTTATGTGCCATCGAGTCGGCCCCGACTCATAGCGACCCCTCCTTGGGTTTCCGAGGCAGTATCACTATGGAAGTAGGATTGCCCAACCTTCCTTCCGAGGAGTGGCTGGTGGGTTTGAACCGCCAGCCTTCTGGTTAGCCGTCGAGCGCCTTAGGCACTATGCTACCAGAGCTCGGCTCGATATTCACAAGTGGCTGGTGTGACATGGGACAGCACAGAATCACAGAAAATGTGCATCCTTGCAGAAAGTTCTATTGGATGGTGATGCCCCAAAGTGTCCCCTCTTACCCTAAGAAAACCAAAACCAAACCCACTGCTGTCACGTTAGATCCGACTCACAGCGACCTCTCCTTGGGTTTCTGAGGCAGTATTACTACGGCAGTAGATTGCCTAACCTTCCTTCCGAGGAGTGGCTGGTAGGTTTGAACCGACAGCCTTCTGGTTAGCAGTCAAATGCCTTAGGCACTATGCCACCAGAGCTGCTGTGAAATACTTAAGGCAAAATTAGAGCAACATTAATTGGAAAACATTAACACATACCAGGTATGTGCTGGACCTCTAAACATAATTTGTCCCAGGACAGTCATACTGTCCTGGAAAGTCTAATATTTTATGTCAAATTTTTGTTCCCCCAAATGGCACACAAATCCTTTCTCAAATCACTCCTGATCTGGGGTTTGGATGATCAGCTTGCCTTAAGCCAAGCAGCACTTTGAGGAGGAGGAATGTGGACAAGAATTAAACAGGAGACTGAAGAACCAAGACGTTGTGGATGTGAAAACTCTCCTTTGATGGTAGGGGCCATTCCGACTCCTCAGGCCAATCTTCAATACCCAGCCCCTGATACCAGCCTCCCAGGTTCCACATGTTCAGCACCCTAAACCCTGTAGGAGTCCTGTTGAGGAGGCAGTGGTCTCCTTTTACCCACCCCCTCTGCACAGAGCCTGTGGCATGGAGGCCCCACAGGAAGAGACCTGGAAACCACACAGGCCTATACCTCAGTTTCCTTTGAATCTAGCCAAGGGCAGTGGCCTCAAGGTTGCTCTGAGTCATGACCAGGACTCTGAGGGTGGTAACCACCTCTGGCTGCTAATGAGCAGATGGAGGGCCCTCCCTGCATGTGAGACCTGAGGGCAGCTACTTTTTCCGTTCTACTAGTGTCTTCTTTGGCAAGGGTGAGCCCCTGTCTTTCTTATCCCCTGGTCCCTGGTCAGCCTCCCTCCATGAGTCTGTAAGTCCAACCTTGCACTCATCTTAAATCTACTGAGGCTTTCATGTGACAGGCTTTATGCCAGGACCTGGGGACACAGCAGTGGACAAGACAAGCATAGTCCTTATCCCTCCTACCCTCTACTTCTCTTCCAGGTTTAATAATTCATTGCAATGGCCACAGAGGACTCACAGACAAGAGTCATGATTGTGGATTTATGAGAGAAGAAACAGGTTACAATTCAGGATGAGAAACAAGTCAGGATACAGTTCTTCAATCAGGACAGCTTTTTCTTAGCTGTGTTGCAGGCATGTTTCTCCCTGGCCTTGGGCTCCGCCCTGCTCAGCCATGTTACAGAGCTCTTTGAGCTTTGCCGATAGGCATACAAAGAGGCACCCAACTCTGCCAACAGGCCTCCTACCCAAAGGCACTTAGCTTTCTCAGTTCATGGGCCGGGGAGCCTGCCTCTTATTTCATGCTGGTCTCACGCTGTATCTGCTGCCACCATCTCTCTGCTGTCTCTCTGCTATCTCAGCAAAGTTCTACAGCTCTTTCTGTCCTGGGTCAAGGAGGTCCAGAGCAGGTCCAAGGACATGCTCCACTCCTGCTGCTTCTTCTACCTTGATGGTAATGAGATCCCCCTTTCCACCTCTGGGATGGTTCATTTTAAGCGTAGTGGGATGGCAAGGCTGACCAATTCCCATATTAGGGGAATTATTTATTCCTTATTTCCATGGTCCCACCCCCACAAGGGTACCTTGTACTTAATTTACATTATTAACAAGCTATATAGTCCCCTTTGGGGACCACAAGCACCTTACATCTGCAGAGTCCCACCTGGTCATTTGGTTGGAATTATAAAGATCATGGCTGGAAGAGCCATACTAAGTAATTCTTTGTTCCATAAGGAAAGACCCCTGGACTGTAAGTAGCCCCATACTGGGGTCAGTACAGAGTCTCCATGCATGGCTGAGAGGATGTGGAAGAGCCTGTCCATTTCCAGAATCACAGTCTCCCTCTTCCTATCACAACACAGAGCCAGGAGGGCCAGAGCAGCCTCTCCCTTTCCCTGCAGTGTCTACCTCTGGGTCTCTCCCTGCAACTCATGGGTCCTGCCCATCCATCTGTTCCCCTGCTCCACCTCCTGGGGTCCCAGATCCATTAAGAGGGCATCACAGAGTTCTGTGACCTTGAGTCCTTCAGAGAGGAGCATCTAAGAGACAGATAAACCTTTCTGGCTGACCTTGACTGCTTTTCATAGGTTTTTTGTTTTTTTTTTTTTAAACTGCCTTTTTCTTCACCCAAGTCAATATGTGTCTTTTACCTAGCTAGAAATTTTCCTTCCCCTACTTTCCCATCTCTGGTAACTAACAAAGAACATTTCCCACTATGTGTAAACTTTTCCTTGACTTTATAATAATGAACTTACACAGTATTTGTCCTTCTGTGATTGACTTATTTCACTCAGCATAACATCTTTCAAGTTCATCCATGTTACATGTTTCACAGATTTTTCATTGTTCTCTGATGCTGCATAGTATTCCGTAGTACCATAGTTTGATTATCCATTCCTCCACTGATGGGCACTTAGGTTGTTTCCATCTCTTTGCTATTGTGTGTGAACAGTGCTACAATGAACATAGGTGTGCATATATCCATTCATGTCCCAGCTCTCACTACTTTAGGATATATACCTCGTAATGGGGTTGCTGAATCAAATTATATTACCATTTCCAACTTTTTAAGGAAGTGCCATACCATTTTCCATTGTGGCTATACTGTTTTACAGTCCTACCAGCAGTATATGAGAGTTCCGGTCTCTACACCCTCACCAACATTTGTTATTTCCTGTCTTATTGAACTTTGCTATTATTGCTGGGGTGAGATGGTATCTCATTGTTGCTTTGGTTTGCATCTCTCTAATGGCTAATGATCATGAGCATTTCTTTATGTGTTTGTTAGCTGCCTGAGTATTTTCTTTGGTGAAATGTCTGTTCATATCTTTTGCCCATTTTTTAATTGGGTTGCTTGTCTTTTTAATGTTGAGATGTTGAATTTCTATAAATTTTAGAGGTAAGTCCCTTGTTGGATGTGTTGTTGCCAAATATTTTTTTTTTTCAAACATGAAGGTCTCTTTGTACTCTTTTGGAGAAGTCTTTTGATGGAGATAAGAATTTAATTTTTAGAAGGTCACAGTCTAGGGACCTCTGGTGGTGCTGTGGTTAAAGCATTTGGCTGCTAAACAAAAGGTCAGCAGTTCAAACTCACTAACTGCTGCACAGGAGAAAGATGAGGCAATATGCTTGCATAAAGATTTACAGCCTTGGAAACCCTATGGACAGTTCTACTATGGATGCTTTGAGTCAGAATCAACTCAGTGGCAGTGGGTTTGGGTTTTTTTGATTTTAGTCATCTAGTTTGTCTTCTGCTGTTTGTGTATTTTTGCTTATGTTTGATAGCCTATTTATGCCATAAATTAGGGCCCCTAGGTTTACCCCTATTTTTTCTTTGATGAACTTTACAGTTTTAGGTTTTACATTTAGGTCTTTGATCCATCTTGAGTTAGTTTTTGTTTATGGTGTGAGGTATGTATCCTGTTTCATTTTTTTGCAAATGGATATCCACTTTTGCCAGAGCACCACTTTTTAAAGAGACCATCTCTTCCCCATTTACTACTTTCCATAGTTTGATATATTAGTGTGTTAACAAGTCTGTTTTTTTCTCATTATTACAAAGAGCCCTAATGAAATAGGATAAGGAGCCCACCGTATCCCAGAGGATTAGAGTTTGGGTAAGGTCCCTTCCAGCAGCCCGTAGAGGTCAGATTTTCCAGGCCAAGACCCTAGCAGGCATAAGGAGATCCTGTTAGATTAGGTGGGCTGACCTGAAGTATGTGAAGGAATGAGCATCCTGTGCTGAGGAAGCCACTTGCTATCTGCTGTCCAGCCCCAAAATTGGGCCACATGGCCATCACATCCTTGGGATCATTCCTCCTGTGACTAGCACCAAAAAAAAAAAACAAACTCACTGCCATTGAGTCAATTCCATCTCATAGCAACCCTCTTTGGGTTTCCAAGGCAGTAAATCTTTATGGAAGCAGATTACCCAGGCTTTCTTCCACGGAGTGGATGGTAGGTTTGAACCACCAGCCTTCTGGTTAGCAGTCATATGCCTTAGGCACTACACCACCAGAGCTCCTTTCTGTGACTAGAGGCTTGGAAAATTATTCCTGGTCCACCCTGGCTCTGTGACCCAGGCTAGCCTTCCAAGGAGAAGGCAAGGGTGTGGTCCCTGAGCAGATCCACAAAGGCAAGACCGGGTGGGGTAATGGGGTGGTGAGGACTTGGCTTCCAGGAAAGCAAGATCAGCAGCCAGAGGGGGTCCAGTGGATCTGGGCCCCTCCTGAGATGCACTGCTGCTGTCCAGTCCTAGTTCCCTCCAACTCACTGGGCTAGTGAGCAGCCACTGCACAGTACCCCAGGGGAGCAGAGACAGGGTGGTGTGATGTAAAAGCTACCCCTTGGCTTCCCAGCTGCATGTCCATCAGAGCCTCCATTACCTCACTGTATAATGGGGACGACCCTAGACCTGACCTCAGAGGCATTTGTGAGGACTGAGGAGAGTAATGCATAAAGCTTCCAGTCAGGGCCTGGCACACTGCAGGTGCTCAGTAAGTGATAGTAGTGTGGATGACCAGGACACTTGACTGAGCCATTCACACCTGCTGGCCACTTGCTCTGGGCCAGGCCTAGGCCTGGTGGGCCTAGGAGTCCACATCTTCTCAGTGGGCTACATAGACCTACATCTGCTGCTCTGGACAAGGGCCAAAGGAGAGGTTTGATGTCAGATAGAGCTATACCGCCCATATGCACTGCACTGGATAGTTACAAAGCCCATTCATGTCTGAGTTCATGGGCACCTCTAGCAGCCTGGGGTGGTGTGGTGGTCCTGTTGTTTGCCGTCGAGTCAGACCCGACTCATAGTGACCCTTTCTTGGGTTTCCGAGGCAGTATCACTACGGAAGTAGATTGCCCCATCTTCCTTCTGAGGAGTGGCTGGTGGGTTTGAACTATCAGCCTTCTGGTTAGCAAGCAGTCAAATGCCTTAGGCACTAAACTACCAGAGCAGCCTGGGGAGGAAGGGATTATAATCCCCACAAGGAAATTAAGGGCCAGGAGCAAGAGGACCAGTGAAATCCTACAATGTGAAGGGAAGGTCATCTTCAGACCCTCCTGGCTCTTCTCTCTCCTTTCCAACTCCATATTTAATGCTCAAAATCCCCTCCTATGCCCACCACAAGGCACCCCCATGACTTGAAACCCAGGCCCCGGTAGTAAGCTTTCCTCAAGTTTCCCCTTTCCCAGCCTTCCCAGCTAGTCCACCCAATGCCCATTCCATCAGGGCATTCCAGAAGTTGAACCTGCTTACAATTGTAGGTTTCAGGTTTTTCTTAGCACAACCCATTTATCAAAATCTTCCACAAAGATCTGTATATAAAAGGGGATTGGAGCCAGGAGCCTCACTCTTCTTGCCACACCCACCCTCTTCCTGTGGTGACCCCAGGAGCCATCTGGGCAGCCCAGGCCTCTGCAGAACTCTGCTGGAAAGGCTTCAGAGTCCAGGGTTGCTCTCCCTGGAAGGAGAAGTGTCTCCCCACAGAGGTGGGCAGCACATTCATTGCCTGTGGTTAGACTGACGATGGGAGCCCAGACTCCACTAGACCTCACATCTGGAAGGAAAGTTGGCCAAAAGGGTGATTGTCTCTGTCCCCCCATCCAGAGAGGAGCAAGGCCACAGCTGTGGCCCTGGGCAGTTTCCCAGTGGGTGAGCAGGCAGAGCTGTCGCTGAGGCTTGGGGAACCATTGACCATCATCTCTGAGTAAGTCCTTCCACGAGCGCTGCATTGGGATGCTGGCTGGGGCAAGATGCCCTCCTCCCTCCCTCTGGATACCTGATTATGAGCTAGTGGGAGACAGGCTGGGCCTGAGAGAAGGGGCCTTTCTCTCCCAGGGAGAAAAGAGTGTAGCCTTTGTTGCCAAGCTCACAGGTGGCTCTAATGGTGGGATTTCAGTCGTTTGACATACCTGTAGGGAGAAGTGGTGGGTGGAGAAGGCCATACAGGGAGACTGAACCATGCCAGGAAGTACCTGGGCTGGCTTGGTGCCAGTTCTCCAGGGCCCTAGTCCTTCTGAGAGGGACCCCACCTCTCCTGTCTCTCTCCAGGGATGGAGACTGGTGGACAGTGCTGTCGGAAGTCTCAGGCAGAGAGTACAGCATCCCCAGCATGCACGCAGCCAAAGTCTCCCATGGGTGAGTTCTGCCCTGGCCCTCACTGAAGGGAAACTTGCTACCTGCTCTTCCCACAGCATTCCGTTTTCTGCCCAGCCCACTGCTGGGGGCTGAGAGGGGGTGTCATGGTTTGGGCTTTGGATGGTGGCTAGGTTTCATGGTAGTGAATGAGAAAAGAGACATGCAGGAGATGGAAAAGCCACATAAATGTCTTAAGGCAAGAAAACAGGCAATTTTTGGAAAGGGGAGGCCTGTGTAGATAGAATGGGCGAGCTGGGAGGCTGGGCAGTGATAGGAGAGAGGCTCGGATCACCCTATGTGGCCTCCTAGGGCATGACAATTCAGGCAGAAAAAGCTAGGGCTAATCCCAAGAAGCCATCCTCCCAGGTCCAGGAAGGTGGAGCTGGAGGGGTGCTCAGAGGCCCTAAGGCAGCCCTTCATGATGCAGATAGAGGTCCAGAGAGGGCAGGGCCTTGCCAGGGTCACACAAAGGGGGTGGGATCTCAGTGTGTCTTCAGTGGACCCCTTGAAGAGAGCCTCTAAAGCAGTCTTGTTGACCCTGATTCCCCTTTCCTGCTCCTCCCTAGGTGGCTGTATGAGGGCCTGAGCCGGGAGAAAGCGGAGGAACTGCTGCTGCTGCCTGGGAACCCTGGAGGGGCCTTCCTCATCCGGGAGAGCCAGAGCAGGAGAGGTGGGTGAGTTCGGTGTCGCCCCATAACCTCCCTCTGTGGGGAGGCCTCGGGGAGGGGGATGGATCCTACAGATCCTCCCCAGAGAATAGGCTGTATCTCACTTGTCATTCATTCAGCTAACAAAGATTTCCCAAGCCCAGCCGAGTATGGGCATACTCCTAGGCTGAGGCAAGGCATGGACAGGCAATAATAGACAACATGAGAGACCTGAGGGCAGAAGAGGGGTGGCTTCCTCTGGAGCAGTCAAGGGAGGCTTCATGGTGGAGTGGACTCTGAGTTGAAACTTGAAGAATGTTCCCACAGAAGTCCAGGGTAAGGCATTGCCCGGCTCTGAGAAAGCCTGGCATTTTATACAAGTGACTGCACCGCAGGTCAGGCAGCTAGAAGAAGCAGGCCAGACCAGAGCACACAGGGCCTTGCCAGCCTAGGAAGCTTTTTTCTTCTTTCCGAAGGCAGAGAGAGATGTTATTAAGCAACAGCATGCGTAGCACTGGGTGTGTGTTGTGGGGGAAACGAGAGGTTGAAGGACAGTGACTCTCAAGGTGGACCACTTGCTCTGAGATAAAGAGGATGGGAAGGTCAGTTCGGGAGAATCTGAAAATCATTTTCTGCTTTGAGGGAGAGAGGTTTTAATTTTTATTGTGATTTGGGTGAAAGTTTACAGAGCAAATTCATCTTCCGTACAGCAGTTCATACACATTGTCTCATGACATTGACTGCAATTCCCCACAATGTAACAGCTCTCTTCCTGCTTCTTCCTGTAGTTACCTATTTCCTGTGCCCTTCCCCCCATGTACTCCCATCCCCCGGAGCTCTCCCTGTACAAACACTGCCCTTCTGTTCTCCCATAACTGATCACTCCAAGGAGTGTATCTATCTGATGTAAATGTTCACCCCATATGCCTATCTGTTTGGCTGGAAGCCACAAGAGTGAGTTCAATTCTAGACCTGAAAGGTAGCTAGGGGCCATAGTCTCAGGGGTCTCACTAGGTTCTATCAGACCAGCAAACCTGGTCTTTTTTTTTTTTTTTTATGATTTTGAGTTTTGTTCCACATTGTTCTCCCACTCTATCCAGGATGTCCAGTACTAATCCCCCTCCAAGTGGTTGACAGTGGTAACTGGGCACCATCTAGTTCTTCTGGTCTCATGGTTATATAGGCTGAGGGTCGCATGGTCTACCCTTGGACTAGTTGTTTTCACGTGTCTTTGGTTTTCTTCATTCTTCTTTGCTCTGGATGAGGAGAAACGCATCATTGCATCTAGATGACTCCTTGCAAGCTTTTAAGATCCCAGTCACTACTCACCAAAGTACAATGTAGAGTGATGTTTTTGTGTAGTATGTTATGCCAATTGAGCTTGATGTTGAGGGAGAGAGGTTTTAACTATTAACAATGCATGTTAAGACAGGACTTCTCAGGGCTTTGACTTTGTCTAATTGAGCATTTCCCAAACACTTCTGAACACAGAAATTTTTATCATGCAGTACTTAGTAGTACTCACTTCATATTCATTCATTCTACAAGTACTTCTCAAGTATCCACTGTGTGGGGAGGCCTCAGAGAGAGGGGAGGAGCCTACTAATGTGGCAGGCCATGGGCATCACTAGAATGAGGTGGGCATGGTCTTTGGTCACAGGAAGCTAGTGCCCAGGGCACACACTTTGGGAAAAACAGCTTGAAATTTGCACTGAAGTCAGGGCTTGTCCCTCAAATGCCAGGAGCCAACTGTGATGTGACTTGGGGGCTAGGGCAGGGGGCCATACATGAAGGATTGGGGTACCTAGCTGTCTGACCATCACACTGCTGGTAGGAGAGCCTATCAGCAATGAAGTAACCTGTATTTCTAGAAGTGGGTGTGAATGTCCCATAGCTTGTATTTCAGAGCAGGGATCCAGGCTCAGTCAACATTCTGGCTGTTGGAACTTGTAATAGAATAGTCATAGAGTTGCCTTCCCTTGGCCAGAAATGACTGATTCCTCCCTTCCCGAGACACTCAGGAACCTGATTACTTGGGGTGGAGGGGACCCGAAATGTTGACAGTGTCTCTGTGCTTTGGGTCACAGACAGAGCCAGAAAGTCATCTCCACAGATCAGGAAATAGAGGCCCAAAGAGAGGTAGGGACATGTCACATTGCACTTCTCCAGGTGCAGGGCCTCTGCAAACAAAATATGAAATGGATAGAGTCTGTCTTGGATGCCCCTGCCTCCCTCTGGGCTATGCTAGCCCCTTAAGACAGGAGCAGAAAGAGGAGTGGAAGGAGCAACAGTGACTGCATTTGTGTTAGGCCCTCTAGGTGCCTCAGAATCACTCTGTGGGGATTACACATCCATTTTTCAGATGAGGAAACTGAAGTTTAGGAGAAACGTTTGCCTGAGGACACACAGTTAATAAGTGTAGAGCAGAAGTCAAAGTCAGCCACGGCAAAGCCCTCGTGTGGTAATGGTGGAACTGCAAGCACACTGAGAGGCTTAAAAAAAAAAAAAGAAAAAAAACCTTGCTGTTGAGTCCACTGAAGTTCACAGTGATCCTGTAGGACAGGGCAGAACTGTCCCATGGGGTGAAAGTTTACGCAGCAAATCCATCCTCCATACAGCAGATGGTACATATTTTGTCTCCTGACATTGACTGCCTCATCTTTCTCCTGAGGGTGGCTGGGGGGTTTGAACTCCTGACCTTTTTGGTTACCAGCCAAATGCTTTATCCACTACACCACGAGAGGTCCTTAGTAAGAGAGTGGAGCAGCTGGTAGCTTTGAACGGCCAAGCTTCTGGTTAGCAGTCAAATGCCTTCAGGCACTATGCCACCAGAGCTTGTAAGAGGCTTGTAAGTAAGAGTTCCTTGTAAAGACTAAACCAAAACATCAAACTCTGCTGTCAAGCCAATTTTGACTCATAGCGACCCCTCCTTGGGTTTCTGAGGTGGTGTCTCTACTCATAGCGACCCCTCCTGGTTTCCGAGGCAGTATCTCTACAGAAGTAGATTGCCTGGTCTTCTTTCCAAGGACTTGCTGGTGGGTTTGAACCACCAGATGCCTTAGGAAATACTTAGGAGGATAGGCCTCCTAGTGCCTACACTAATTTGAACCTACTATAATGGGTTTGTAGGAGCTCTGGTAGCATAGTGGCTAAAGCACTTGACTGCTAACCAGAAGGCTGGCGGTTGAAACCCACCAGCCACTCCTCGGAAGGAAGGTTGGGCAATCCTACTTCCGTAGTGATACTGCCTCGGAAACCCAAGGAGGGGTCGCTATGAGTCGGGGCCGACTCGACGGCACATAACAACAACAACATCATAATGGGTTTGTAGGGTTCTTCGCTTCTGCCTCAGTCTCCCTCCTAGGCACCCTGCAGCCAATCTTTGCCTCTCCAGCCCTTCCCTTGGGAGCTCTCCGGGTTTATCTCTTCTTGCCCCTCCTACTGTTTTCCAGGCAGCATTGGCGGCCTCACCCTCACACACACCTAAAGTCTGGCTGGGGTCAGGGGCTGGCCCCAGTACAGCAGCTGCAAACAGGAAACCACAGTAGGGCGCTGGCTGAGGCAGGGGTGCTGCAGGCCAGGCTGGCTGCTCAAGGCCCCAGTGCGCTTTGCAAAGCCACAGGAAGTATCTTGTACTCAACTGCTCTCCCTCCTCTGCTTTCACCCCTTCTCTGGCTTGGTTCAGCCCCAGGAGTCCAGTGACTGCCCCTTATTGCCAGTCTTCTTCCCCTTTCCTAAGAAGGCACGTAATGTAAGAGGGAATCTGAGAAATAAAGAAGAAAGCTGACAGGATCCATAAAGATCTTTAATTACTAGGATTAAGTTTAAATTTGACCCTGAGCGTCCCTGTAGCAAACACCAGAAGGGGGATGGATTAGAATGCAGCTCGCATTATCAAAAAAGGAAGAAATGTGCCAGTTCCCCGGTAAACGCAAAGGTTTCCCTAGCATTAACTTTCAATCTCTCATCTAGGGCTTCCTCTGGGGCAGTATTTGTCCAGCTGCCAGTCATGACCCATTTATGGGTTAAGAAATCAATTTATCCCAGTGGTGTGCAACAGAAGCACCTGCAGTGCTCATTAAAACACAGATGGCTGGGTTCCACCCCCAGAACTTCTGCTGATAAAGTGGGCCTGAGAATCTGTGTGTCTTACATGTCTCAGGTAATGCTGTTGTGGCTAGTCTGGGGACACACTTTGAGACCCCTTCATCTCATCCTTGGCTGTACACTGGAATCATGTAGGGGAGCTTAAAAACATACTGCAGCCCAGGTTCCATGTCAGTTTCTGACTTAATTGGTCAGGGGTATGGCCTGGGCACTGGGATTTGTAAAGCAGTGCCCCGCCCCACCCACTGCCAGGTGATTCTGATGTACAGCCAGGGTGAAGACCCACTGAGTGAGTGGTCTGGACCAGTGAGTGTACATAATGGAGAGCAGAAAACACTGGAGGGTATGTCAGGCCGAGGTGAATACTGCTTCATGAAACTTTTGTTTCAGGTATTTATAAGTATGTGGGGACTGGGTCACAATATCAAATTTCATACTGTGGTTTGTGGTAAAAAAAAAAAAGTTTGAACTGTCCTGCTCTCGAGGCCCAAGTGAAGTGATAGAATGGTGGCTCTGACTTGAATGTACAGGAATCACTGGGAACTCATTAAAAATGTGCACTCCTGGGCCTCACCCTATATCTACTGGGTCAAACTATTCAGAAATAATTTCAGTTCTTTCAGATTTTTTTATGTCCCAGCACATAGTTTATCTTGAATGTTCCATATGTAACTGAAAGAAAATGTGTTGTTGGGTGTGCTATTCTGTGTCAATCAGAGAAAACTGGTTGATAGTGTTATTCAAGTCTTCTATATCCCTCTTGGTTTTGTCATACTAATTACTGAGGAGTGTTGAAATCTCCAAGTATAATTATGGGTTTGCCTATTTCACCTGTCAATTCCTGTTCATATTATTTCAAATTTCTGTAATTGAGTGCATACAGATTAAGGATTTTGTCTTCTGGATGTGTTTAACCCTTTTGTTGCTATTAAACATTCTCTTTATCTCTGTTATCCTTGGGCTTGAATTCTGTTTTGTCTGATGTTTGCTTTCCTGTGGTACAGTGGTTAAATGCTTGGCTGCTAACCAAAAGTCAGCAGTTCAAACTCATCACCTGCTCAGTGGGATAAAGATAACAGCCTTAAAAACCCTCTGGGCAGTTCTGCTCTGCTGTGAGTTGGAATTGACTAGACAGCAACAGATCTGGATTTTGGTTTAAGACTGTTTACATGATTTATCTTTTCTCATCTTTTTACTTTTGGCCTGTGTTTTAATATTTAAAGTCTGTTTATTATAGATGGCATAAAGTTAAGTCCTGCTTTTCATCAAGTTTGATAGTCTCTGCCTTTTAATTACTTATATACATGACTTCCTCAAAGTAAATGCTTCCTACAACATGCAGTGCCTGTGGTTTAGGAAATTAACTCCTGCCTCTTGTTGGTATTTCACAGGGAAAAGGTTAAATGACAGGGTTGTTGTGTCTTCTGAGTCTTTGTGCCATAACTTCCTTATCTGTAAAACAAGGATAATACCTACCTCATAGGGTGGCTGTGAAAATTCAATGAGATTCTATATAAAGCACTTATAGTAAGCACTTAATACTTGAGTGACAACAGCTATAACACTTCAATCCACAATCAACAGCAATGGACGCAGCAGTCAAGATATCAGATGTCATACTGCACTGGGCAAATCTGCTGCAAACGATCTTTTTAAAGTGCTGAAGAGCAAAGATGTCTCTTTGAAGACTGTTGTCATGTGCCATCGAGTCAGACCCAACTCCTAGTGACCCCTCCTTGGGTTTCCAAGGCAGTAGCACTACGGAAGTAGATTGCCCAACCTTCCTTCCAAGGAGTGGCTTGTGAGTTTGAACCACCAGCCTTCTGGTTAGCAGTCAAGTGCCTTAGGCACTATGCTGCCAAAGCTCCCTTTTGAAGACTAAGGTGCACCTAACCCAGGCCATGATACTTTCAATAGCTTCATGTGCGTGTGAAAGCTGAACAATGAATAAGGAAGACCAAAGGAGAGTTGATGCTTTTGAGTTGTGGTGTTGGCAGAGAATACTGAAAAAAGGTCCAAAATACCATGGACTGTGAGAAGAGTGAATAAATCTGCCCTGGAAGAAGTACAGCTGGAATGCTCCTTGGAAGTGAGAATGGCCAGACTTCATCTCACCTACTTAGGTCATGTTGTCAGAAGAGACCATTCCCCAGAGAAGGATATTGTGGTGGTTAAGTTTGTGTGTCAACTTGGCTGGGCCTGGTTGAGTGGCTGGGCAGCTGGTGGTAGTTATTCCCCATGATGGGACTGGCAGTCACCTCCATAGTGGGACCTACCACAAGCAGCTGAGTAGCTGCTTTAGCGATGTGGTCTACTTCCCATTATAAGAAACAGCTTTGGGAATGGTCTCTAGCTTATGGCATGCTTGAACCCTGCATGTAGCCGTATCATTGTTCAGCAGCCTGCCATGCTCTGCCAACCTTGGGACTTTCAATGGACTTGAATTAATGGCCTGCCATGTGGTTTGGGAACATCGGGACTGTCAATATTATTTTATTTGTCGACCTTCGGCTTGTTAGCCTCAGCAGCCAGTAGCTGTCTGAGTGAAGAGATGCCCCTAGCTTCAGTGGGCCAGGAGCAAGAGGTAGAGCTGAAGCCCAAGGTCGAGGGGCTTTCACCCAGCCCCTAGAGCATGGCACTTTGGACTTGGACTTAAAGCCTCCAGAGTTGTAAGGGAATAAACTCCTGTTTGTTCAAACCATCCCATTTGTGGTATATTCCTCTCAGAGCAGCACTAGGTAACCAGAACAGAAATCATGCTTGGTAAAGTGGAGGGTCAGCAAAAAAGGGGTAAGACCCTCAACAAGATGGATCGACACAGTGGCTCCAATGATAGTAGGCTCAGGTATACCAAGGATTGTGAGGTCTGGTGCAGGACCGGGCAGTATTTAGTTCTGTTGTACACAGGGTCACTATGAGTCGGAGCCAACTCAACAGCACCTAACAAGATCACCACCACTCAGCATCATCTTCTCATTTGGCTTTGATCAAGTGTTGACTTAAAATTTATTATGGTCTTTCTCGTTTCATTTTTCAACCATATGCTCTTGTTCTAACCAGGCCTTCTTCTGCCTTTTTAATTCTTAAAAATTTAATTATTTTGTTGAAACTAATTAAACTGCACCTTAAAATGTGTGCATTTATGTAATATATACCTCAATAAAGTTGATTTTAAAAATGGAAAAAACAAAAAAATCCTGTCATAGGACTTTTGTGTGTACCATATGTACAGTTTAAGGGCTAATAGTAAAACCAGTATCTATGTTCCTCTGTTCCTCCTTTTCCAGTTTAAATAGTACAATAAATTAGACCACCTTAAAAAAAAAAGTAAGCAAGCAATATATCCAATTCCATGATTCCTATCTTGGAAGATCTTTTGCAGGTGTTTGGGGGCACCCTAACCTCCTCAGCTCCCCCAGCATGCACACACATTGCTGAGAGAGGACAGCTATATAACTTTCCTGGGGCAAGTGGACATTTTTAAAATCTAAATTATGATCTAATTAATAAGCTATAGAATGGCTTGATATAATCTATAAAAGAAACATGAAATAATTAAGAAATAATTCAAAAAATTATTTAATAAGAGATAGCCACACATGATAAAAAAATTTGCATTAAGTACTTTAAATTGCATCTATTCAGGGATAAGCTTATTCTCCCTTACTTTCTGAAGTATAATTACTAAAAATTCCTTGCTTGCAAATGAATGAGTAAACCTGAGGTAGGAAAAGAAGAAATTATCTTTAAAATATCAACAAGCTGGAAATCATGAAAAGGCAAATAAAACATTAAAATGACCTCAGTGTGCCATGCTATTGTAAAAGTAGTATTCAGTAATCACTTAAAGGGATGAAAGTAGTAAGAGAAAGTGTTCAGGAGAGTATCTCTGAATTATAAAATATTACTTCCTATGGGAGCTCTGGTAGCATAGTGGCTAAGACACTTGCCTGCTCACCAGAAGGCTGGCGGTTCAAACCCACCAGCCACTCCTCGGAAGGAAGGCTGGGCAATCCTACTTCCGTAGTGATACTGCCTCGGAAACCCAAGGAGAGGTCGCTATGAGTCAGGGCTGACTCGACGACACATAACAACAACAACAACAACAATGGTAGCATAGTGAAGGTGGAATACTAATTTGGTGTAACCTATTCATCCATTGCCAATTTGCATTTCCTTGCAGTGTGTCATTCATTTATGAGTGCTTGAAATATAGGTTAACAAGATGGTTCTTGTTCATCAGGACAACAACTGACACCAAAAAAAAAAAAGACAGTAACAATTTCTTTGAAACATCTTACATGTTTCACATGTTTTAATCAGTTGCTTTTCTTCATTGCTTTGCCAAACACATAAACTCACTCTGTAGAATCAACGCACAGCAACCTCTCCTTGGGTTTCCAAGGCGATTATCTTTACGTTAGTAGATAGCCCAGTCTTCCTTCCTAGGAGTGGCTGGTAGATTTGAACCACTAAGCCTTCTGGTTGTAGCAATCAAATGCCTTAGGTACTATGCAATATATAATGCCATCTTGGCTGTCTGTGAACTTTATATAAATAGAATCATGCTGAATTTATGTCTCTGTGACTTGCTGTTTCTGCCATTATTTTTAAGATTTATGTATGCTTATTGTGTGGTGAGGAGCTCTGGTAGCAAAATGCCTAAGGCACTTGACTGCTAACCAGAAGGCTGGCGGTTCAAACCCACCAGCCACTCCTCAGAAAGAAGATTGGGCAATCTACTTCCGTAGTGATACTGCTCTGGAAACCCAAGGAGGGGTCGCTATGAGTTGGATCCGACTCGAAGGCACAGAACAACAGTGTATAGTGGTTATTTTTACTGCTGCATAGTATTACATCCTACAATCCATCATTTATTCTATTTACAGCATAGTGGCTGTTTGCAGATTTTGGCTTTTAAAACAGGGCTTTCTATAAGTATTCTTGTTCACACATTTCTAGGATAACATGCCTAGAAGGAAATGCTGGGTAGTAAAGGATGTGCATGTTCAACTTGACTAGCTAATGCCAAACTAGTCCAACCATTTCCAAAGGGGGCTGTACTAATTTATCCTTTGCCAGCAGGGTAAGAGAGTTCCAGTTTCTCTAGGCCCTTGCCAAGGACCCACTGACATGTTCCTAATCTAACACTCTCTTTGTAACAGCTGACAGTGTTGATCTGCACTGTGCCAGCTCTTGGACTGAGGGTTCTATGTGCATGATCTCATTGTGTCCCCACAAACCCTATCTATTATGAATGTGTTCTTATTTATGCCCAGGAGAGCTAATCTTTGTCCTTGCCCTGACCACTTCCTGTGTCTGTATCTCATCTCTTTATTCTTCCAATCTGGGTTGGGCTGGGTCCCAGCAGGACCTCAGTGCCACCCCTGCACCCTTTCCTCCTCAGGCTGTTACTCTCTGTCAGTCCGACTCAGCCGCCCCACATCCTGGGACCGGATCAGACACTACAGGATCCAGCACCTAGACAACGGCTGGCTGTACATCTCACCACGCTTCACCTTCCCCTCACTCCAGGCCCTGGTGGACCATTACTCGGGTAAGGCTTTTCCCTGATTCCATGGTATGGGAGGCATGTGAGGGCAGACACTACCTGCTACAAAATATCCAAGGAGAAGAGGGTACCAGTCCCTGTGACAAGAAATGCAGGCTGGAAGCCGTCTTCAACCCATGCCCTGACAGAAGCATGAGCTTCTCCTGTCTCTCAGCTTCAGTGTTCCTAGATTTCTGGTTCTGACTCAAAGTCCCCAGCAGCAGGCACTGTTCTCTCCACAGGAGCTAGGCCCACAGCTGTTGCTGCTGTTGGATTCACTTCTGACTCTTCTTAGCATTTTCTGGTGCCTGTCCTGTGGAGGATACAGTCACCACGACACAGTGTCAGAGGGACAGAGAGGAAAGACCACTCCTGGGAGACCTCTTCAGTGGTTTTCTAGGGGGCTCCGTGCATTACAGCAACATTACCAGAAGTACAGACTGAGTATTCCATAGCTTTCTTTTTCCCTAAGTACTTTCCTATCCAGAAATGGGCTCAAAGAGACCCATCAGTTCCCCCAAAGTCACACAATCAATTAGGCCTCCCAACACCTAACCCAATATGACTTTTGACTGTATCTCAGCTCCATGAGACCAATAACTTGGGGCTCATCTTGTCACTGACTTTTGTGACTATGCCCGAAGTAAGGGTGGGTACTGGGGAGGAAAGAAGGACTGGCATCGGCAATATCAGCGGCCCAGGTCTCTTCCTCAGAGTTGGCCGATGACATCTGCTGCCTCCTCAAGGAGCCCTGTGCCCTGCAGAGGGCTGGCCCACTTCCTGACAAGGCTATACCCCCACCTGTGACTGTGCAGAGGATGCCAATCAACTGGGAAGAGCTGGACAGGTGAGAGGGGCCTCTGGAACATAAAGGTGAAAAAAGGAGATTTAGGAGCTGACCCTGAGAACTCAGAATGGGTCTGTCACCTTCAGGAACACCTGAGAGTCAGTGAACACTGGCTGAACTCCTGGAGCCCAGACCAGGCTTAGCATGTCGGTAGGACATACTGTTGGGAGGAAAAGGCAATGCACGCTTGGGCACTGAGGTAGCCAGGATGGGGGTAAGTCAGGTCAGACAAGATGGGACAGGACAGAGCTCCAAGTCCTGCGTGGAAAGTCACACTGATAGGGAAAGGGACCCACTGTTGTGGAGCAGCAGTGACTTGAAGATAGGGTTTTGAGGATAGTGAATTATGTGTGGTAGTGCAGGATGGAGGCGGCGGCTTGACTCAGCTCTCTCTCTCCTCCTCCCCACAGCTCCCTCCTGCTTTCCGAGGCATCTGCCCCAGGGGAAGCGTCTCTCCTCAGTGAGGGGCTCCGGGAGGCCCTCAGCTCCTACATCAGCCTGACTGAGGACATCTCCTTGAATGATGCCAAAGCCCAAAGGAGAGGTCGAAAAGGAACCCAAGGCTGCAGTATCTAGCACCTCAACTCAGCTCAACCTGAGCACCCTAGAGGCAAGGCTGTGTCACTGAGTGGGCGGACTGGGGCACAGCTGCATCCAGGGTCCCTGTGTCCTCTGCTCCTTCCCCTCTTAGAAGTCAGTTATTCCTCCCAATGGCAGGACCCCAGCCCCCAACCATTAGTCTCCAAGTTGAGAACAGGTGAGAGTAAGGCCAGGGGCTCCAAAAACAAAGAACAAACCTCCTCTGAGGTCTAACCCAGTCAGTTACTGAGTCATTTTGCATTTGGCCACAAACATGATTGGGAGAGCTTGGCCAGGTTCAAATGATTAAGCTACAAAATGAAGTAACAGATCTGTGAGCTGGAACTATCCAGAGAAGGGGCTTGGTGGGAGCATGTAAGGACCTCAGTGACCCCTCAAGCCCAGCTCAGTACTGTGAGGCCAGTCACATCCAGAGTACTGGGCAAGGGCTAAGAGCCAGACATGGCACCTGTGTGCAGAGAGCCGACCAAAGCTCCTAGGGGCTCTCAAGGTGCTAAGTACTATGCACAAAGCCAAACCAATTCTCCAGCCCTGGATGTCCCTGATATCCCCATCAAGGGGGGGAGATCTGGCTGGAGCTACTAAGGGAGCAGGAGAGGAAGGAAGAGTGGGCACCACCTCTAGTACTCCTACTGGGTTCCTGGGCTAGAGGTGGGTGTGGGAAGCAGAGCATCACCAGGTATAACCAACAGGTTTTCAATTAAAGATTTGATTTATTCAAGTATCTGAAAACATTCTGCAGTGGAAACTGTTCCTAGATGCTGCCTATACTTGCTATGAGCCATACATATAATTCCATACTGTGTTCAGAAGACTTGAAATGCCACTGATAGTTTAAAAACTGTACACCTGATGGAGAACTGAGGGAGACAATTTAATGTTTCATCCGGATCCAGAGATGCATCCAAATAAACGCCCAGCTCCAGTCAGCAAACGGGTTATGTAGTGATGAGCATCCAAGAAGCAATGGGTGGTGATGGACAATCAGAAATGCTTCCCAAGAAGTGGATGGTTCTCTACAAAGTTTCAGGTCAGAACCCTTGCAGAAAACACTGATGCCCAACACACTGGTTCTTGGTCCAGAAAACATAGGTCTTCTGAGCTCCCGTGCTGGAGTGCCCCTACAATCGTGTTTCTGTGCTGTAACTAAGAGGGTCCTTTGGACTGGACAGGGAGCACATGGGGGCTGTACACCATCAGTCATAGTGGATGGCAGTGTAAAAGATGATCCAAATGACCTAGAGGGGAGACAAGCAATGTTCACAGGTCACCCGGATCAGCGGTGGCTTTCTTAGGCTCGATTTCACAAAACATCATATAAGAGTGTGTGCACAGTGGGCTCCCTAAGGGGCTATCCAATGCATAATCTGCTTAGAGGACTGAATTATTTCACTGAAATCGAACTGTAACAGGGCCCAGAACCCCACCCAAACAGCAACCTGAGCCCCAGAGACTGAATTTATAGATATGGCATAATACTGGTAAGGCAGACTGTACTGCTCACAGGTGTCAGGATTAGCAACAAATGTGAAACCAAAAACACCATCAGATTCGGTCATCTCCTTATCAAATAAAGCAGTGGTTCTCAAACCTGGCTGTCCACTGGAATATCCTGGGGAGCTTTGAAAAATGTCCCAGCCACCTTCCACAGATTCTGATTTTATTATTTGGGCTACAGTCTGGCTATGTAGAGGTATCTGTGTATAATCTTTAAAAATAACTTTATTGGAACATAATTCACATACCACAGTTCAGTAGTATTTAATGTATGGTACAAACATCACCACTAATACCACAATATTTTCATCACCCTATAATCCATTAAGTCACTCTTCATCTACCCCACCCCCACCAGTCACTGGCAACCAGTGATCTGATTTCTGTCTCTCTAGATTTACCTATTCTGGATTATTTCACATAAATGAAATCACACCACACATACATGTGTCTGGTTTCTTCTACTCAGTATGTTTTAGAGGTTCATCCATGTTGTAGCATGTACTTCATTTTTTTATGGCTGAATAATATTCCATTGTATGGCTATGCCACACTTTTACTATTCATCACTCAGTAGACATCTGTTTTGTTTCTACTTGTTGGCTATTGTGATTAATGCTGCTATTTTTATATTTTTGTGTGTGGGGGGTAGTCCAACCATTTTACTGAAGAAGTGGGGACAATGAGGTCTAGCAATTACAATCTGACTGGAATCTCCTGGACCTTGCAGCCACCAAAAAACCTATCAATGTATTTTAAAATGCTTCATAATTGTTTCTAATATGCAGCCAGGATTGAGAATCAGATGTAAAAGCTAACAATGAGTCAAAGATTCGCAGTCACAGAGATGCCATCATACCACATTTTTTGGGACAATGTGAGAGGCCATGCCTCGGAAGCATTTGAAAAAAGGTACCCCAATCACTCAATTCCCTCAATCAGCGACTGACACTTCATGAAAAGAACAGTACTTGTTACAAACAGTTATACATACCATGAACAAGGCAAAAGATGTCATAAACCCTTCTTTTGTGAGCTCCCACGTGCCACCATACTCCTCTTCATCGATCTGTAGGTAGCTGCTGAAGTAGAGATACAGGACTCCTGCATTGATCAGGCAGAATCTGGAGTGAGGAGCGCAAGGGCCAACACACCGTAAGCTTAGAAGACTCAGAGCCCCTACCCTCACAGCCCAGCTCTAGGAGGGCCCTCACTGTCCTTTAGTCTGCTGTTTTATGTCTGTGTCCTCCTGATAAGCAAAGGGTGACCTGGGAAAAAATAAGCTTTGGACTCAGAAAGACGTGGACTCAAACCTAAGCTTTACTTCATGGTCATGAAACCTTGTGCAAGTCTCTTAACAGAGGTCTCATTTTTTTTGGTCTGTTAAATAGGGTGTCTGATTATTATGGCAAGTGAAATAACACATGTAAATGCCTAGGCTTTCAAAGGAGGTACCCACCTGCCTGAGTTAGCAACTTACAGGAAGAATAATTCTTTTTAGTTGCCCAGCAAAAGACGAAAAAAGAAAAAAAACCACTCTGCGCATCTTTGAAGCAAGGCAGAATGGCTGCTGAGTAAGGCATTCCAAACTGGACCAATACCTGATACAGGCCCATAGCAGCTCCAGCCAGGGCAAGGCTGTACCCGGCCATGGGGCAAAACACGCTAAGCTGCTGCTTCACAGCCAAGTGAGCAAAAGCACACTAAGTAGACCCCTGCACAACAGGGAGGAAAATGTCTGGATGTCCCCTGTACTGTGCTTGATGTGGAGGCAAACCTGACAGTTCTGCCCTCAGCGCATCATCTGGTAGGGGCTAAGAACAGCATTAAGAGAACTGAAACCAGCTGTTGTTGAGCATCTCCAAGAAGGTCTTTAATCTGTATAATGCATTATTTAGCTGATGGAGGAACAATAATGCACCTTGTTTTACTCAACTTTTGGCACTGTTATCAGTAAATTTTATAAAGCAGTCAAGGCTTTCCTTGCAATCGTTCCAGTTACTGCACCTAATCTAATGGGGGACTGTGGATCTTAGGACACATCCCTTCTAAGGCTAAGGTGTAAGATCAGAGACAGCTGGCTCCTTCAGTGGATGGAGTGTGGGCTGGTGTAGGGGAGGGCAGTATGTGAGGCTGAGGCGTGTCAATCAGTACGCAAGGGGAGATGGAGACCACGATCAAGGTGGGGAAGGGTGGTGTGTCTGTGTACTTCAGGAAGTCTGGTTTGTGAGTGGCAAGAATGCTATATATATACAGGCTTTCTTCAGAGTAGCAAGAATAGGGGCCGGGAGACTGATTTAGACTTAGACTTATGTTTCAGGACTTAAGAGTAGTAAGGTTTGAGGACAGGGACTGGGCAGGTGGCTGAATGGGAGAGGCAAAGGCTTCACGTCTAAGAGCTTGGGAGTACACGTGATTCCAATAACAGAATCAGGGAGAGCAGGAAGTCAGGGAAGTTTTTCTTGGAAAAAATTTCTCATAAAATACAGTCAGTCCTTAGCTTGGCCAGGCAGTGGCCACATCCTTATCTTGGGTCCAGCTAAATCTGGCCACCCCTCTATGACAGTTTCCTTTTGGACAGGCTGACTGAGTAGATCTAAATGGAGATTCTAATTGGAGTGAGAAATGTCATTCTGAGGCCCAGAGCTAGCTAGGGCTGGAAGTTAACTGGACTCTTACGGAGTATCCAGTGGTAAAGATGGTTGCTTAATGAGATGAAACAAGGGAGCAAGGATGACAGCAGAAAGTTGAAGGAAGCATGAACAGCAAAGCTTGGACAAGCAATCAAAAAGGGAAGACTAGGAGGCGGGGCAAGATGGCGGACTAGGCAGAAGGATTGCACAGACCCTCTTCAACAAAGAAAAGGGAAACCAATTAACACAGACACAG